GCGATGTTTTATGTATATATATATATATATTTTTTTTTTTTTTTCAAAGAAAGTATAATAAAACTGTCAAGATTAATAATAAACTTTGCACGGCAAATTTTCTCAAGATGCAAAAATAATATTTTTGTAGCGCTTTCTCATATAAAAATAAAATTATTTATACATATATACAATTTAAACTTGCAATTTAAATTTTTCGAACAAGATTTGTAGTAATCTTCTTCACTCATAATACTTTTCTTTCAAGCTGGCGTTTAATATTTTATTATACATCTTGTACAGTATTCATAAAATCTTTTAACGAAATATCAAGAAAGCTAAATCCGGCGCGTAGGAAAAGTTTCCGTCTCCGTCTTTCTCAAGTGGTTTCGAGTTGCGTAGCAATAAATATCAAGTTCTATTGCGACGCAAAAGGAATAAAGTAGATATAAAAGAAAAAAATAGTACGCTCGATTAAAAGCATTCGCGCCATCGTTTGCAGCCATGATTGCTCTCTCTGGAATATTCAGAGAAGCCGTTAAATCTGGGTTCGCTGTCCGGATTCTGCTCTCTGTATCTTCTTTAGAACATTTTAACACATATAAGCTCTTCCAATTTTTAAGCGCATGTTGCATGCAGCTAAATTATTAACATTAAGTGTTTCAACTATTTTCACCTTCAATCAAATCATCGCTTTCGTCATTATGAATTTATTAAGTCTTCTTGCCTGTCGTCGCAAAGAATCGAGTTTACAAGCATCTTTGCTTACGTAAGACTAAATAAATTAAACAAAAATTATAATGGGGAGAATTTCTGTGTATGTTACACATTTCGTATATAATTGATTAGGCTTTTTTAAATTTTAAAGCCTAATGCACGCGATGTCTGTCTAGGAAGTAGAACGCAAACGTACGTAGTAAGTCTAAATTTATCCAGAGTTTCATCGAATGTACCTCGTGTGGTTTACTTATGCCGAGATCAGTAATTTGGTCAGTGCAAATGTTACTGTTGTTTTACATGATTTTTATGAAAAGATGTAAAACAATCAAGCTAATCAACAGAAAAAAGGTCCTCATTTATTACATAAGCAAGCATATTGTTTGTGCTTGTAAAAGAATTAAAAAAAAACATAAAGAAAATTGAAATGTCAGGAATATTAAAAAAATTGCTGAGAAAAAAATACATTAGAGATTCATTACACGTCATGTTTAATTAATTCACTTTTTCATTCTTAATTTGAAAATGTTTGCGTAATGCCTTACTTTTGACTTCTTATTTTGCAATAAATTTTCTTTCATCCTTAATTTTTTGATTCAAAAATGTATTATAACATTAAATCATTCTACTTTCATCTATATTTAATATATACACTGAAAAAAATTTGTTAACTTGATTAAACCTTTCAATTACATTACTATTTTGTTAATAGAACATATATTAGTATTTAAGTCAAATATACGTTTTGTTATATTTAAAATTTAAATATTATTATATATATATTCAATTAACAAAATAATATTTAATTAAAAAGTTTAGTCAAGTTAATAAATTTTTTCAGCGTACATTTCAATATATTTGTTTCTGCAGACAAAAAAGTAATTCGGGAAGAGATCGGAATCTTGTCTGCAAGTTTCCTGTCTTACGTGATACATCACAACGTGTACTTCCGTTCGCGCGTTATACCAAGTCATCTGGAAGAGCTCGAGGAAAAAGACGGCTTCTTCCTCACAACCTAAGGGTATATTCGCTCTTGCGCATCCAGGTCGCGTACAAAAATCCTTATTGGTCCACGACGGCAAACCTCATGCAGACCGAAGAGAGATCTCTCTCGGAGAAGTTTTCGGCGGAAAACTCTGCCTGTGCTTCCAACGTATACCGTATCAAGCTCAACGCAAATCGCTTCTAAGACAAATCTTCCCTACGCTATCCCGCCTTTGAAATTCGACACCCGGTATATGACGTCGCTTCCAGCGTCGATCGCGGACGTATATATCGAGAAGAGGCAGAGAGAAGAAAGCTTTATACACGAATATATACACGTATATAGATACGCGGGATGCTGGGAGGCGGATGCTCCGTCTCGGAAAGACCCGGCTAATTTTGCTGGCCGCGTCGTGTCGCGCCGGGGCGACCCGTGGCGCTCCGATGCACGAAAATGTTTCTGGGAGGCATGCAGCCAGGGATTCGTACTTGGAAGTCGCTAACGATCGCTTCGACCTCCTTCGATAAACGATCGAGCCGCATCCCGGCTGTGCTGCGCTTTCCGGCGAGCCGCGATCGATCTTTTATAGCCCGCAGGCGCTCCGTTAGTCTGACGCGAGTCAGACTGCATCTACTGAATGCGCGGGATCTTCCTTCGCCGATGCACTTTGTAATAAAAAGATCGATTGGTTTCGAGAAAGCCTCTTTTCACAACTTATGCTCTTTAAACGTTAAGCAACGTGCTTTGAAAATTCCACGTTGTTTTTAAATAGAAAAAACTTGTTATACTTCATATCTAAATTAGAAGGATCTACAGAGAGAATTTTGTCTTAAAATTTACTTGGAAAATCATGATATAATCGAGGAACAATATGGTATTGGAAGAATTTGATAATAGTTTCTCTGATTAATATTTTTATCACAATAAAAAATTACCATAATAAGATATAAAATACGTCCGATTAATTTTATTATGTACTACGCGAGTCAGACTGCATCTACTGAATGCGCGGGATCTTCCTTCGCCGATGCACTTTGTAATAAAAAGATCGATTGGTTTCGAGAAAGCCTCTTTTCACAACTTATGCTCTTTAAACGTTAAGCAACGTGCTTTGAAAATTCCACGTTGTTTTTAAATAGAAAAAACCTGTTATACTTCATATCTAAATTAGAAGGATCTACAGAGAGAATTTTGTCTTAAAATTTACTTGGAAAATCATGATGTGATCGAGGGACAATATGGTATTGGAAGAATTTGATAATAGTTTCTCCGATTAATATTTTTATCACAATAAAAAATATTATTAACATTTATCACAATAAGATATAAAATACGTCCGATTAATTTTATTATGTACTACTATTAATATTTTTATCGCGATAAATATTAATTATAGAAACTCTTATAAAATTGTAAGAAAAAATTCCCTCCGTGTATGATTAAAAAATTGTTTTACTTGCTAAATAACTGGTATGAAAAATTTCTTAAAGGAAAAAATACTACACACTTTGTTTAAACTTAGTGTATATAACTTTCGGTCTAAATAATTAAATATAACACAAATACGTGCGTATCAACGTGTTTCTAAATGTGGTCGCCGTTTTGCAGAATTTCATTTCCTCCACGTTGAATTCTCCACCATGCAACGTGGCATAGTCAAGCCGGTACAATTCTAACGAAACATTCGTGATAAAGGAGCGAATTTAATTACGAGCTTGTGAGATCTACAATGTTCGCGTTGGAAACACTACGGGATCGCGCCGCTCCCTGGTTGTAGTTTTAAACTAAAAGTGAAAAACTCAAGGCACGGAAATGCAAACTGGTGCAACCAACGACCAGCACAATAAAAGAATATCGCACCGTAACCTGGTGATAATCTATTAAGGCACTAACGCGCGAAACGCGTGCATGAAAAATTGTATCGCGAAAAATTGCGCATTCGATGTTGCTTTTACAAGGGATGATATAGTACATTCAGGTTTTCGCTATTGAGAGAGCTTTTCGATTTAGCGGTATCTCGCAAAACATCCAGATTGGTTCGCAGAAGGAATAAGCAAGCATGCGACCTGGACCTTTGAACGATAAAGTTAATGGACTTCATTTACATTGCATAATTGCGACGAAAGCGGAGCCAGCACTCAAATTATACGCAAGGTCCAACGAGCAGAACCAACGGCTAAAGTGCCCTTTGAATATTTGGTATGCTTAAAACTCTCATTTACACTGTACACGTTCGTTAAGTACGCCAGATCCGCAAGACCGAGAATTAATCGTCTTACTAGATGGCGTAAACGCTCAAGGAAAATTATATGACGTGTACAAGAAAATCGGATAGCGATAATATACATATGGGAACTCAGCATGTGCATTTCAACCAATTTATGTCAATTTATATGAGACTTATGAGACGTATGAATATATGTGTACGTATATATATTAGTCACATTGAATTAAGATAAAAGTTTTAATGATGCCAGCAAATTCAAATATATTATGCCTTCATCAAATGTTTTAAATCAGTCTACTTTAATTTATTTTTGTATATTAGCTTGTTATGCTTCAAGATATATAATAAATAAAATTTTATTTTGTAAAATTTACAGATTTTCACATATAAGAGCGATGCGTAATAATAATAGAATAATTGAACGAAAACATGAAAAATGCAAAGCGATGTCAGATTCTTATGTAATGCCACTCTGCATACATATAAATTAATCACAATGAGAAATTACGTTCGAATCGAATAAAAATCATAATCAATAGCCATGGATATTTTTTGCAGCAATATAAGACAAAGATATAAAGCAGACTTCATAAATGCAAATCCTGTTATCCACTTAAACCGATACTTCCACGCAAAGTGCTGCAATTGAAAGCATGATCAAGTATCGATGAAAATCGCAGGATAAGCGAAAATATTAATTTCATCGATCAAACAGAAATTACGTTGATGTGCATCATCGTGTTATGTATCAATTTAGGAACTTGCAAATATTTTTTCGCACGATGAACAAACAAATGGGCATAACTGAAAGCAGAAAAATAGCTTCTAATACACATTTGCATATATAATATTGCCAACGAATTTACGAATGAAGAGTAAATAAATCGATATATAAATTAAGGAACATAATCAATAAATCTTTGTCTCGCCAGTGAATAATAAATAACTAGAAAAATCCTAATAACCCAACTGGCATAAAAGTATCTTTATTGTTAGCTAGGTCGTTAAGATTTTTCTATTTATAAATGAAGGAAGACTTTGAAGAAAAAATGATGAAGCCGTCATCGGAGAGTGAACATGTGAAGAACTTACGTAGCTCCTATACGATGCCATGATCCTGTTCTCAGAAGGACGAAGAAATCTCAAAAGAAGAGAACAGGTCTCCAGAACCAGAAACGCTTTCTGCAGTCAGCTTCACCAACCACCAAGCACAGAAGTAGTCACATCACCGTCACACACGATTCACCGACACTGCGATAAGACGTTGAAGAAAGGAGGAGGTCAGAGATATCGAGGCCGCGGATTAGGAAATAATCGATCGCTCGAAGGAAAAGTTGTCCGCGACCTCGCGAAGGAGGAAAGTGACGAGGCGCTTCGTTTCGGATGAAGCTCGGACCCTGAAGAGCCGGCGAGGCACGCCGCGGTCCCTCTTGTTCTCTTTTTCCCTTGCTCTCTTTCTCCTTTTCTTCTTAGTTCGAGTCTCTCTCTGCGTTTCCTCTTCTTTCTTCCTCTCGAGTTCTCGTCTCCTCGCTTCGTGGAGTTATGGCGATGAACCGCTCCTTGTCGCACTCGTAGAGCCCACTCGAGCCCTATTTTAAGAATAGCTTTGTACGTTCTCTGTCTCGCTCTCCATCCGTTTCTCCTTCGTCTTCGGCTTCACCGGCTGCGAGGAAGATGCAATTTCGTGACGAAGAGAGAGACCAGGAACGCGCGGATAAATTCCGCGTGCGCGGGTATACATGCGTTTCCGCTCGGACGGAAACGAAATCGCGATATGACATGAGTGGTTCATAAAGATGTAGTCAACAGTCCGAGTTCAATTTTTCTTCAGCAAAATAAATTCAAAGTTATATAAACGCGCTTTAACTTGATTCATTTTTAATTCTTTATAAACTAGTCTTAATTATAATTATGATTGTATTAATTGTATAATTGTTATAATTATTATACGTCACAATTGTAGATTTATGGTAATTATTCTAGCTTTAAATATTTGAACTTAATCCATGATATATATTAAAATATTTTTACTTCGTACGCGATAATTGATTATCAAATAATTATCCATATTTTCATGCAAAAATTCCACAAGAGCTCGGACTATTCAGAACTTTGCAGCTTTAATCATCGGATCTTCAAGACCTCTCTCAAAACCCTCTGGATGTTCTCAAAGGAAACACTCCCTCACACACAGAGCTAGAACAAACCACTCGCGAAACTACGGTCGTCTTTGTTCAGGAAATGAGAACAACGTTGCCGCAAGACTGTTTCCACTGGCTAAATTCTCTCTCGCGCGATGGAAGATGGTCTCTTCATGCGAGGATCTGCAGAACTTCTCAAAAGAGGGAACCTCTTCTGAGAAATCGCGAGCAAGGTATCCCCAAACAGGATTTGCACTGTTACAATTGGAGCGATGCGGAAGGGCAAGGATGAGGGACTTAACGTGATCCGCAAAGAGCTCGGCAAGTTTTGCCGAGTTTCCGAGTTGACGTTAGAACGTTGACAGATTCCAACTTGAATTAATTAACTGAAGATTCGTCTACGAGTTCGAAAAATTTCCATAATCCACGTTTTTCTGCGCGAGCATTTGTTTATCTGAAAAAAAATCGTATTTCATTATTTTTTTTTCTCCATTAACTTCAGAAGCATCGTAAAAGCGCGAAGCGTTTTTACGAAAATTAAAAAGCCATTATCTTTTTATTAAAACTAGAACATTACAAGCGCTACGCGCCATTGTGCAGTTTTATGTTAAAAATAATAAAAAAGAAAATGAAGTATATCCTATTTTGTCCATTTTTGTCAACACTATGTTAAACTGTCATAAGCTGTTCATACTCACGATGATAGTATGAATATATTATATTTAACAAATAAAAAATTATGTTCCTCTTTTTTTTTTTACATTATTAATATGTGCATTGAACATGGTTTTTTTTTATTGACAGTGTTAATAAAATTACATTTTTTATTATAATACCACATATATTTTATATACAATATTACGTATGTTTCATCTACGGATATCTTAATCAAACAAAAATGTAAGTTAAAATTTTTTTTTAATAACAATTTAATAGACTTCGTGCTGCCAACCTACGTAAAGCATTAGAATGATATTGTCTTGACAAATTTTGTGGTCAAATGATAAGTACTATACTTGAAAAGATACCTAACAGAAAGTTATCCATGGAGACTGAGACAATCTTTGATCTCCGAGTTGAAAGCATTCTAAGTTGGTGGCGCTACAAGAATATCTTCAAAAGCTCCTAAAAGCTGAATCTGATCTAAAGATTAACAAAAATAGCGATGTGCAACAACATAATAAATCATGCATTTTGATGAAATTAAAAATTTGATAAATTAAAATAATGTCGAGACATAATAAAAATTCGATGAATTAAAATTATGTCGAGACATAATAAAAATTCGATGTCGAGACATAATTTTAAGTTTTAATTCATCAATTTTTTATTATATTGCAACATAATTTTAATTCTTAAATTATTATTATGTCGCGATATAATAAAATTTTGATGAATTAAAATTATGTCTGGATATAAAAATAATTTCCAACTTTTATTATGTCTCGACATAATTTTTTCATCGAATTATAATTTTAGTTTATCGAATTTTTATTATGCCGCGACATAATTTTAATTCTGAATCATTTATAACATCAAAATTAATAGCATCTTAACGTTAAATTTCTTTTTCAGTTTATTGTAATGTATCTCATTAAAAAAGAATCGATGAATCTGGTACGTTTATTATATGTCATATTAATGTCATAATGTATTACTTTGACACAATTGAATTGCTCTGCAGCACAAAACGAGGGAGGAATGTTAGATTTAAACCTCGTTACCTAGATCCGTATTTGCGACGTTGATAGATTCCCCATAATCTTCTTACGTCGAGAGTTAGCCGCAATCACATGCTTGGTGTTAATAATTAATTTGGAATAGGCAGCAACGTAAGAGAGAGAGAATCGTGAAAACAGTTAAGCCGGCTTTGCTTTCGTATGACGAATCCATCCAAAAATGTTTCGTCCTCGAAATAAATATGCTCATACACATAAATATTACAATAAAGATAAGTATTTTTTCTTTGCGATAATTTTATGTAAAATTAATATTTAAATTCTAAAACTATATGTCTGTGATAAAACATATATCTTTTAAATTTATAAAAATCGATTTAAAAGGACTTTTTCATACTATATAAAAAAATAAATAATACAATATTTTATAAAATTTATTTTATGAACATATTTACAAAAGACACAATTTATTAATTCTATTTATTATTAATTTACATTTTTTTTATTTTTATAATATTAATAATGATGACAGAATTATCGACTTTCTCATTCATAATTTTTATTATTTAAAAAAAAATCTTTTTACACTGATATAAATCTACATAGATTTCTGTATATTATAACAAACATTAAAAAGTGCAGTAGTCTATTAGAGAAAAAATGCAATATAAAGTAAACTTACATTTATGGATCATTGTGATTATTTTTGGATTTCGGGAATTCATATCTTTATATCCCCACTGCAGGACACACTAAAATGAAAATAGAAAATTACAGTGAGATTAACACGTGACTGACGAGGAGTTGATATTTTATACGACTTACCCCACTTTCTCAGCGAATATAGAAGAGTATTTTTCGGACAGGAATAGAGCGACTTAGTCATCCTAAGTTTCTGTAGCAATATCGAAAAGCTTTGGTCTGTGTTTTGTAGTAATTTTTAGACGATGAATCAACTTTTGTGTTATCGTCAACCGTGAACCCTGATATATTAATTGATGAATTAACTTTTTAATAAGTAAAGTAGAACTTTATTTTTAATGGTAAAAGATAGAGAATTAGTACAGAGTATTAAGAATTATCTTCCACCGCTACTATTATAATGCAAAAGTATTCTATATTTAAATAGAGATCATATTGCAAGTTTGACAAGCGTAAAAATAATATAGTAATTTTATATGAGATGGAAGAGCATGCATGTTTTATGTGAACTCGGTGTTGCATTATATTTAACAAAATTATATGCAAATTACGATCAAAATTGTAGATTATGTATTAGCGTGCATAACAGCTTGATTTACATCATAAAAGAGGAGCAAATCATATTGTTTATAGTCGCAGAACTATTTTCAGAAACCGTTGTTATACGACAAACAAGTTAGTGTTAGCCAATGACCTGAATTCTGATCAATTCACGCATTATTTTAATAATTATAAAAATTCAAACTCGTAAATGTTACATAAAAAATTTTTTAATAATAATAATTAATAATTAACAATTAATTTTCACAGTTCCTTTTCCAATAAGCAATAAATTCAAGCGTATTTTTATAATCGTAAAATATGAATAAAATAACGTCCAAATGAATGATATAATCACATTCAATTTCAATTTTCTTCTCCATAAATACAGTCGCATACATTTCATAATAAATTTAGTATATCATTAGTACGAAATTTCTTCCAGTCAAAAACCCACCTGTTTTGCTCTCTTCCCAAATCTTAAACCAATGTACTCTATAATTATAGAACGATATGCATATGACAGGTGCGAAACTCCAAGCGAAACAGCTGAAAATTATATTATAATATGAAAAGGGGACGCGATACTAATATAAATTACGACCAATTCAAAAAATCTTCTAGACGCTTTGCATTTAATATGCATTGATATTCAGATCAAAATATTATGTAAAGACACATTTTCCTATAATTTATCAAATTTTTTAATTGTTCAAAATAATTTAAATAAATATTCATTAGTTTTATATAAAAAAACATAGATATATAAATATATTACACAATAAGCCTTTTAAAAGATTGCAATTATATCTCTATTTACGACAGATTATTAAGTGATAATTATTAAAATATATACGATATATTTCACATGAGATTAGTAGAATTTACCAAACAATCCAAGGGTTGGTTTTGCATATAAATAGTTAGCACATGGTCAGAAAGTCAAGATCTTTCGATATAGTGCATAGAAATTCAACTGAATAAGAGTCGGAAGAAGTTAAATTTAGAAAATTAGGACAGCGCACGATGGCTTGGAAATCATTGGTAGTCTTTTTTTTAAATAAAACTATAAGAACTACTTGTCGCGTATTGTTTTTCTTGTATGCTATATTCTTATATGAATTCGTTAGTTAATGCTAACTAATAAAAAAATATACAATTTATATTATAAACGTAAGATTGTATTAGTAATTGCAACACATTAGTAGATATTAATTTAATATTAAAACTTGATTATTTTAATTTCAAATCTGCAAGTACTGACAAAGATTGCGTACTCAACTTCTATGAGTAGATACTTTGTCGAACTATTATTTTCTCTTATTTGATCACTACACACTACTCGTCTCTTTCTTCGTAAACAGAATAAACGATATGATTCCCAATTGATTCACATCAGTCGAAAGCTGAATATCCCATTGCTGCGGTAAATTGCAAACAGCGAAAGCAATTTATTATTCTGAAAGCAAGTTTTGGCGAAATAAAAAAAGTATGTATAAATTATAGAAAGTGAATTCCAAATAGTATGCTATAGATGATTGAACGTTAAGAAAAAGAAATGAGATGGAAGAGAAATATCAATAGATTAGGAGTAAAACTGAAGGTAGCAATTGGAAAGAACTTTGTACTTTGCATTTTGCATGCTTTGAGATTTACATTTTCCAATGAAAAATCATCTGTCAAAAAACGGTGACATAAGACATAAAGCAATCGTAATAAAATGCAATTAAAAGTTATGTAAAGGCAAAATAAGGACTATAAAGAAGAATCTCTTTAAACTCAACAAACTTGCACATGGCAAAAAATATGTTTGTATATATATAATTAGATTTTACAAGAAAAAAATAACAACAATTGCTTAAATCTCGTGTATCGGAGATTGAAGAAAAACGGAGAGATTTCGAAGGAGGAAAAAAACGAAGATGTGTCTAGTACGCTTGAAAGAGATCGGCAGGAAAGAGGGACAGATGAGAGAGCTATTTTCGCGTTTGGTCCGACGACGTACCACCTCTTCTCTCTGACACCTGGAATTCTCCACCAGAGCGAGCTACGCATTCACAAAGGAGGAAGGGGTGATGAAGAGTGCAGAAGACGATGAGAAGAACATGCAGGGAAGGGGCCAATCTCAAATTACTTGGTGAGCTCCGGGCTAGGCCGACCAAATATCTTTGCTCACCATCGCCTGACGACCTTTTATAGACACTCGCGGTAGTGGGGCAAAGTGGGAGGTTGAGGAAATTGTGTGAAAACTGGCAATCCGACGGAAAAAGAAGAAGCACCCGGAACGATGGAGCGCGATCTTGCTCCGCTCGACACCGGAGAACGAAACGGACGAGTTCTGATGAAACGTAGAAGTTCAAGTGCCATGAAAAAGTCTGTCTCTCACATTCGCACTGTCAAATATTGGTTGCGTTTCTTGCAACAGATATTGTATAAATAGACAACATGATTTTGGCAAATCATAACATTATGGACAAAGTTCTAGATTCATTAGAAGACTGTCTAGGAAAATATGATTGAGAAAATAATTCACAATTATTTGCTGGAAATAAAGTTTTTATTGTTGTAATTGCCCTCTATTTTATTGTGCAAATTTATTTTTGCATATTCAGATTTAAATATGTTCTAATAGGGAGGATGCCAATTTTATACACCCACTTTAGAAAAGTACGTAAAAATATCCATAATAGTCATAATGTGTATCATTACAGAATTATTCACGAATGAAGTTGTTGTGACATGTGTTAGTAACATTGTTTGATAGTTTGACATTTTTGTCTTTCATCACACGTCACTCCTACACTATACTACTTGTTAAGTGGATAGATCTCTGAATGAGTCGGCAGCTCGTTTCATCGATAGACAAACTGCGAGCATCCTACTCGACCCTGCATCTCTTTTCAAGTACACTATACTAAATCGGTTCTGACTGGTTACGACGCAGTTGCATCTCATGTTCACGAGTTCTGGACAAACAATTCCCTTTGGGAATCGCAGAGATCCGATTTAATTCCGGCAACGCCAGATGCGTTACAATGTATAAAATATATATAATTCAGGATTATAGTGAAAATCGTGTATCTTCGTAAATCAAATAATTATGCTTAAAATACATACATTTCTAGTTTTCTATTATATGCATCATATAACATAATTTTTATCTTTAAAAAGAAAAAAAAATATATAAAAGAGGAAAAATGTTTAGCATATTTAAATTTTAATTTAAAATTCTTTTGTGAATAAAAACGGAAAGGGCCGAAATAAAACATATATTTAAAATACTTGAAAACTTACATCATAAAGATTGTATGTATTTTTTGATAATGAAAATAGAGGGAGAAGAAGCGCGAATCTTAGATTTTCTGTCAGATCTACCTATTTGACAGATCTGCCTATAGAACCGTCTAGTTAATATTTAATTTAGTTTATATTAGTTATTTTTTATTATACATATTTTTGATTGTTATACAATTTCACCAACAAACTGATTAAAAACATCCAAGTAATTGTCACCCCTATTGAATGAACTGAATTTTTCCTGAAAATGAAGAAATGTGAATTCTCAGGAAATACTGAAGAACTTTGGCGGGATTTGAAAAATCCCTCACGCATAATAAAATGATGAGAAAAACGAAACCCTCCACTCTCAGCATCTCATCCACCGCAGTCGGCCAAACCCCAAGTCGATTTGGCAACTGCTTTTCGTGGGCGTCTAGCGTCTTGCTTGGTGGTTTCCCCTCGATGATGATGAAGACAACAAGAACGACGGCAATGACGAACTCTGCTGTTCCTGGTGGGGGTTTAGCATCTGCGCGCCTGCGTTGATCATCATTTTGACGAAGCAATGAAGCGGCCGGCGCGCCATACGAACGACGACGGGTCGCGCACTACGAGTAGGGCGCTGGTCGGCTCCGAAACCCCGAAGAGAAGGAAGAAGAAGAAGAAGAAGAGCGTGTGGAAGAGGAAAGTGGAAGCGGACTCGCCGACAACTGAGGCCGAGGCGACTTGACTTAGCCAGTGGCGAACAGAAGGAGACCTTAGCCGGAGAGGATACTCGAATTTGAAGTATACGCGAGAGGAGACTCCGCAAAGCAAGGAATCAGATCCATTGTCGAAGACAAGCAGAGAAGATGTCGTCTTCAGCGGTTGCCAAGACTTCCAAGTACACGTACCGTTCTACGGGCGGTGCAGGTACAGCAGATGTTAGCATCGAATATAGCGCCGACCTGAGCGCTCTCAGCAGACTCGAGGTAGGTCCTGCGAAAAAAAAAAGAACGCCTCTAATATGTCCTTCGACAGGAGAGAACGACAGAAAAAGAACAAATCTGCTTATTTATTATTAAAACACTTGAGTAACTCTTTCTTTAATTATATTCCAAATAACTTAGATGAAAAGTAATCATTAATAAAATTGATATAGTTTGTATTACCATCTTCAATTAGTTATCTATAGTCAATTTAATCGAATAAAAAGAATGTGTAATAAAATATTTGAATAATCAATAAAAATTTGTATTAAGTAAGAAATACTGATGAAACAAATTTGAATATATTATTATTAGGCTATGAGAGAGATCGTTTTTTTTTTTATAAAAATTTTAGTTATAAAAATTGTTATGCATTTGATATTGTCGAAAATTGACATTCGAAGAAATTGGATAATGATACTTTTCTGAAAAGTGCGAAGAGAATTTTACTGTAAAATAAGATCGAACAAATGAACAAAATTGTATCTTCCAAGCCATATATCGACGGCAAGTGAAAGAGGACGACGCATTGGCCGACGTTCTCCAGCGGAGAACTTTCTGAGGAGACGCGCAATGCTCGAATAACCGCTAGATTTTAATGAAGATGTTTCCATCGCAAGCAAAAAACCATCAGTGATTAGCACGTGAATAATGAGGAGCAGTGACGAATCGCGAAAGTAGTGAACCGCGAAAGTTCAGTGACCATAAGGGATGTTAGTGCCAACCCGACGAGAAAGCAAAGTGTTCTGTAGCTATCGGATTGCTCGTGTACGAAAATAGTCGGCGAAATATCGGTCTGAAATGACGATCGTGCCAAGGCGCCAGATCGATAGCCTGCTTCGAGATCCACCTTGGGTGATCCTTCGGATTTCGCTCCTTAATGCTCGGTATCAGGAGAAATATGAGGGAGCGTACGACTATCTTCAGATGACCAAGTAAGATACATTTCTTCATCTCTCTTGCAAAGCTAGTGGTGTCTGACTGTTTGTCCCGGCGCAATCTAAACGTCAGCGTACGCCTTTCTTGAAATAATCTAGACGAGCGGCTCGAAGACGCGGCTGAGCAGACGTCGCGATGTCGTTCTCTCCTTCTTCCGAGGACGAATCTATCTCGGCGGAAGCCGTCTTTCCGAAATACCGAGCCTCCGCTCTCGGATATTTTCGTCGAGCGATTACGTAAAGCGTCGACCCTCTATAACGGGCGTTGTGATACCCTCTAATCCTCATTGCCTCTCTTTTCAGGACAAAATCCGCCTACTGCAGGATGACCTGGAGTCTGAGAGGGAGCTGCGTCAGAGGGTGAGTTCCATTAATGTCTTTACACTAGCCTAACACTCTTGGCGCTTCTTAATATGTTGAACGTAATGGCGGATGCATCTGCCATGATATTTGATACCGTATCTTTCGAGAGATATCGAGATTATGTTTTAATTATATCAAAATTAACTGCATTTCTAACATTTCATGCATATATCAAATAATTAAGCATAACCAATGATTGATTAGCTATTTTGTTCCATTTTATTGAGAGAGACTTTGCTAAAGTATCGAGATCACCGCTGTAAATTCATTTGAGAACTGATGACGTGCGCTTAACATATTATAAGTAATTAATTCATTATAATAAAATTTGGCTTTAATTGTTAAAAAGTAATCTTTGCTATGTTCTTCACACAGAAAGCAATTTGCTTTTCTGAATACAATAAGTGTGATTAAAGAGATAAAAAAAGGATGCAAGACCATTTTCAGAGATTTAAGTCTACTCTCATTGAACGAGAGAATCGAGAAAGATTATATTAATAAATCTCCAATTTCTGTGAAAATTCTTATTTTTCTTTACTATCTATACACACCAAGAAATTCACAAAATAATATTAAAAATATCTGCTGCTGAAGAGCGTCACGTTCTAAGAGAACTTTGAGTTTTGCCTAAATAGAGTTACAGTTCTTCGACAATGTGCTCGTTATCAGGTGTCATTAGTTAAGAGATGGAGATGGAAATGAACTGATGATGCTTAATTCATTGCAGAGTGGGGAGCACTAGGTCGAAATGTCCAGCTCTTGAGTTGCGTCTATTTTTAGGAACGCGAAGCTCTTCGGGATCGTTTTCACATTCCTGCGCTGTACCCAACACTGCTTGCCTCTACTTTTATAAACATTATCATATAATCTCTCAGAAACTTAAGCGATTCATAAATATCGATATAAAAAGATTTATACAATATTTTTAAAAATATTTCTTTTTATTTATAAATGAAAAAAAAACACAAATATCTTGTTTTAAGGATAGGAATTAATCTCTCTAGTTCTACAAGAAAATTCTTTTTCATTCGAGAAATTGGTTTTCATGAAATTTTGTAAAATTCCATACATGTCTGACCAGTCTGACGGAATTGCATACTACGAGAACGGAAATTACATTCCTCAGTGATAACATTTGCACAGTTACGGGTGTGTAAAAAAAACAGGCATTCCGCTTTCAAACAAGGAATCAAATTTTATAAAAAACTTCTCAGATTTCGTCGTTCGAATTCCACAAAAATCGAATTCCTATGTAACGAACGCCGTAATACGTGACTTGAACGACTGCCAAAAATTTTCCTCGTGCTTCGAGGCTATAAAATCCGAAAATTAGAGTGACGGTTAACATGATATACGCTCTTTCATAATGCTTTACGCATTTCGTTTAGAGATATGCAAAATGCATATATTACATTTAGAAATTGCAAATGCCTTGAAACAAATATGTGAAAATTAACGATTAATTTTATTTGTTATACATATATATTACTTGATTATATAAATATGAAATAATTTAATTTATTTGAAATCAAATAATAATATCATATACATCACTCTATTAAAAATTATAGCAAAACAAAAAAATTAATTTGTATATCTATAATATTTAAATTGCATTATCAATAATAATAATTCTTCTATTAATGTTTATTCTGTCTAGTTGTTATATACCTTTAATAACTTATTGTTAATTAAAATATTAATCATACATAAAATGCAACATACGGCAATTTAAAAAAAATTAGGGTATAATAATTTCATGTTTCAACTGATCGTAAAAGCAATGTCGCAATTTCATTTTTTTTTGCAATGAACGCCTCGTTTGCAATATGAATAACGTTCCCGATTTAGAAACGTCGCATTCGAAAATAGATTGTTCTATTTATGTTGTGAAGAAATTTGACGTCAAGCTACCGCTAAAGATATTCTAGCAGAATATATACGCCATTACACGATTTTTTTTAAATTAATGGCGATTATTTGTTATAAAGAGACTAGTTTTGATTAAGTACAATATTTTAAAAATTTAACAGAATATTTTTATTTATTATAATTTATTTTTTACTTTGAAGAATAATTATTGTTAGTTTTTGTCATTGATTTTAATTTAAATTGCTAAGGCCACTCGCTTTTTGCCTTTGAGTAAAAAATTGTCAAATCTTTCTTTATACATTTTTATAAAATTGTAGATCGAACGCGAGCGCGCTGACTTAAGCGTGCAAGTCATTCAGCTGTCCGAACGTCTCGAAGAGGCTGAGGGTGGCGCCGAATCTCAAGTGAGTGTTTACATCTTTTTCTCACAGAAAATCCTTTTTTCTTTCATCTATACTTAAATTGTCATTAAAAGACTTAAACCATTTTAAATGACTCGCAAATTATATTGATTTTCTTACGCAGTTTGAGATCAACAAGAAGAGGGACACGGAATTGGCCAAGCTGCGCAAACTACTCGAAGATGTCCATCTCGAGAGCGAGGAGACCGCACATCTCTTGCGCAAAAAACACCAGGAAGTCGTCGTCGACTTCCAAGATCAGATTGACCAGCTTTCGAAAGCACGTGCCAGGTTAGTAACTGAAACTGTGATTGTAATTAATGGGTTTCCTCCCATCAACTGAAATCTACAATACATTAAAAGATAATACAAGAGAGTTTCTTCTCGAGACGCTTTTATATACTGTTTTATAACAATCTTTTACATATATATTTTTAGTTAACATACATTCCGAACGGTTTAAATTTGATATTTGCACTAGAAAGTCGAAATTTGACAAAGATCAGAATTCCGTACATTTGAGAAAGTGTAAAGGCACTTGTATATTCGCGATCGCAAAGCAACCGCAGTGTAAACGTTTGCTAATCTCTCCTTTGAATGCACGTTGCTCGAGAGCTTCAATAAACAGATCAGAACTGGCCGGAAATTCCGCGGTTAGCAAATTGCAGTTTCTGTGAAGAAACGTCACGCGATATTTGGGAAAAGACAAGACATTAAAAGGGAGGAAACGTAATGAGTCATGATGTCACTTGGGTAATTATAGTGCATGTCTCAAACGAGAATGACTCTATGTAAGAAAATTTATGTGAATTATATCAGTCTTACTGGCCATGATCCAAGCCAAAAAACGACACGCATCTGAAATACACGAGGATTTGGTAGCTCGGCTCTTCTAAACGTAATCATCTGTTCGAGGCGCCGATCCGGTTGATTATACAAGGACGTTGATACTTAATTAGACTGATACTTATTCGATTTTTATTTCGTTATGATAGCTTTTGATAAAAAAAAATTGAATAATCACATAAAAACAAACCTCCTTTCAGAGTTACTGTCTAAAATGCGAAACTTGATTTTAGATGATTCTCACGTAAATCATAAATTTATAAAGTGTATTTTTAAATATAATTTGTACTGAGGAATAAATTACATAAAGTAGCATATGTGTTTTTTCAAGAAACTTTATGTATTTAATAATTAATTATCATATTAAAAAAAAAAGATATTATGGTAGAGAGAGATAATATTTTTTGCGCGATGCATTCACATTTGCACATTAATGTTTAAAACCTAATATTTATAATTTTACATTATAATTAAAATTTATAATAAAACATACATAATTATATGCAGTTACGCATTTGGAGATTTATTATATAAAAATTATAAGAAAGAGAATTTTTTTCTCATATTGTACTTATAATACTTATGTCATTGTGACAGAAAATATTGAAAAAACGTATGCAATTTTCTAAAAATTATCTCAAAATAGTTGATATATTGTCGCCAAAAATAATAACTACTCAACACAGCAGTTATATAGTTTTAGCCATCCAACCAGACAAGTAGCGTGAAATATAATCATCCAGTTACAATTTGTAGATAGTGTGATTTCATCGCCGATTTTAAATCGTAATCATTACCCACACATTTATGAACTTGGCAAAAGTTTCGAATATCGTAAATATAGAAAAACCAATTTAACACATTCTCATTTTCATTGGACACATATATTTGTCGCGATAAACTTGCGTAACAATTTTCGATGACTTTATTCATCAGCATCCACTATTGCAAGTATTTCATTGTTCGTTCATAAATTCAAGATATCTCAGATTAAAATGGACTCAATTAGGTGTCACAAGTATGAAATGACGTAAAAAAAAAATAAATAAATAAATAAAAATAAAATTATTCGTGGAACATGAAGTAAGAAGGGTGCATATGTAGGTCTCGGGGTAAAATTGCACTACATAGGTTTCTCTCCTTTTTTCTTGACGTAAAAACATTGTCTCTCTCTATCACACGTTTCTCTTTCTCTCTCTGTCTTCTCTTTGCTCGCATGGTTACTTGGCTTATGACTATTTTTAACTGTGCGACTCGCGCGGCAATCCGCAACCCCAACGTTGGCGCGCCATATTAGTACACGCGGCCGGCACAAATCCCCACTATCCCCAAGAATCGGCTAACTGATACCTTACACCCTCTTTACACGTGTAGGTGTACAGGTCTAATATTTAACCGTCGAAATTGTTTTTGCGCGTCCGAAATAATAAAATCGCGCGTGCGATGTTCAAAAGTAAATTACACAGAAAGAATGGTTGTGATATGTCGTATTATTGATATATGTATAGATCATCCATCTTTTTAAATTTTTTTTTCATTGTCTAATATTACTGATACATTTCATATATAAATTCATTATAAATTATTTTTGAGAAATTCATGAAGAAAAATGTGGCAAATATATATTTTACGCTTGCATTTTACTTCGCGCATTAAAATGTGATTTAATCATTTCAGAAATATATATATATATATATATATATTTATATATAATATCTTCTGCTTAATATAAGCAGATTTGTTATTCATACTTTTATTTATTTTATACAAAAAGTTTACGGAAATAATTTTATTTTATATAAATGTTAAATATTTAAATTAGTCTTTAAATTTGACTCATTATTCTTTATTATAATTTATTAGATTTCTTGATTCTGAAGAAATATACGAGATATAAATATAAATATCTAAAAAAAAATATTTTCTTATAAAATCATTTACATATTTTTAATGAGGCATTTAATTTATCTTTGTTAATCTAATTAAAAATATAAAAGAAGCTTCTCAATATCGAATTACATCAATATAAATGTTATATGCTAATTGAGAGAAAACAGAGAACAAATTTTTAATTATCTTCTTTTACTAATTTAATTAATTTACAAAAATTTCAAATTGCAAAAGAAACTTTTTTTTTAAGTGCTTTTCGTATAAAATTAATTTTTTCTTTCTCATATTTTTTAAGTCAAACGCGATTTAAGCAAATCAAAATAGTTTTGACAAATATATAAAAATATCATTTTCAGTAGTAAGAGTCCATATACAATTTTTTCTAGCAAAGCCATTGTGTGATTTCAGGGCTGACAAAGAAAAATCTAAATTCCAGCAAGAGGTGTATGAACTTCTCTCTCAGCTTGACAATGTTTCTAAGGAAAAATTGCTGTCGATTAAAACAGTTGAGAAACTCGAAATACATGTATCTGAATTGAATGTTAAGATTGAGGAATTAAACCGTACGATTGTTGACATTACTAGTCACAAAACTCGGCTATCTCAAGAGAATATCGAATTGGTCAAAGAGGTGCAAGATCTCAAGGTACTGCTTAATAATAAAGAGCGCGATTGTATTTTTTTTTTACAAATTATTAATTACTTGATTAAAATTTTAGGTGAACATCGAAAACATTTCGTACTTGAAAACGCAAGTTGTGGGTCAACTCGACGATGCTCGCCGTCGCCTTGAAGATGAAGAACGTCGTCGTTCATTGGTCGAGGCTTCGTTGCACCAGGTGATTTAACATATTTATAATTAATTTCGATGATTCTTTTAAAAAAAAGCAACACTTCAACATCTATCAATACTGTGTGATAATATATAATATTTCAATATTTAATATAAATATTTATATAAAAATATATTTAAATATAATTATATTAATTATTAATAATTATAATTAATAATTATTAATTATTATAATTATTAAAAATTAAAAATTAAAAAATATAAAAAATAACAATTATATTAAAAAAACTTGTATCTTCTTTTTTAAATATGAGATAAGACTACTTACTATTGTTAAGATAGCAATACACGTGACGTACAATTGTTAATATTAATGTATAGGTTGAGGTGGAATTGGAGTCTGTCCGCGTCCAATTAGAGGAAGAATCTGAGGCACGTTTGGACATTGAACGTCAATTAGTCAAGGCTACTGGAGAAGTCTCAATATGGAGATCGAAATACGAGACCGAAGCTAATGCTCGTCTTGAAGAGGTAATTAACATACTTGTCCGACAATAATTACGTCGATCTATAATAATCATGCATTGATCTTTTTTATAATTCGATAATCTAATAAATTTTTGTCATAATTTTATACAGGTAGAGGAACTTCGTCGAAAATATTCCGCTCGCATCCAGGAACAGGAAGAACAAATCGAGACCTTGCTTGTGAAGATTAATAATCTCGAGAAACAGAAATCGCGCTTGCAATCCGAAGTGGAAGTTCTGATCATTGATTTAGAAAAGGTAAGGTTCTCTTTCGAAATTAATTCTCAGCTGACACATTTATTCTGAAAAAAAGCAAATATTTTAATTATCATATTTTTTAAAAGAATTTTTCATATTCTCATAATTTTTTTTCAAGGCCAATGGAACTGCTCGGGAACTTCAGAAGCGTGTCGAACATCTCGAAAAAATCAATATAGAATTGAAGACTCGTTTGGACGAATCTCTCGCCTTATACGAGCAAAGCCAGCGCGATCTTCGCAACAAGCAACAAGAATTGCAACGTGTGAACGCCGAACTCGACAAGACTCGCGAACTGAAAGATCAATTGGTTCGTGAAAATAAGAAACTTGGAGGTGATTGTCTTTCTACTATAACTCAAAATTACAGCAATAATAATTGATATATATTTTTGTAGTATTATGTTACAAGTAGTTTAACACTCTAAAATGTATTCTTAATTTAATTTTTTATAGATGATCTTAGCGATGCTAAGAATCAGTTGGCTGACATGAATCGTAGACTCCACGAACTGGAACTAGAACTTCGTCGATTGGAGAACGAACGTGAAGAATTGGCTGCTGCTTATAAGGAAGCCGAAGCAGTGAGTAATCATTTAATACGGCAAAATATAATAATAGCTAACAAAAATTTATTTTAAAAAAGATATAAGCAAAAAATATATTGAAAAACTATTAAGAAAAATTTAAATTCAACATAGGGCCGCAAAATTGAGGAGCAACGTGCTCAGAGATTGTCGGCCGAATTGAGTCAATTACGTCACGAATATGAACGTCGCATTGCTGAAAAGGACGAAGAAATTGAAGCTATTCGGTAAGTTTTTGAAAATTATTTTTATCTGTTTTTATTTTTTATTTTATAATATTTTCGATAGATGTATTAATATATTAATTTATTTTTTATTTAATAGTTTTAACAATTAAAATTTTTTTTCTTCACTTATTAATTTCTTATTTTTATGTCTTTTTTCTAGTTTAAATTATATAATATAATACATACTCAAAAAAAAAAAGAAACTAGTTACTTATTTTTTTTAATAAAATTTACATTATTCCATCCTGAGATTAAGAAAAAGAGAATCGTTCTTAAAAGTTTTTGAAATGCCAATGCAGTTTACATTTTAAAAACTGTTTTATTTAAGATAATTCATTTAAATTTTTAATCAAAATTTATATTACATAATTATCTCTTTTCTTGGTATTTCAATATTATATATAATATATTTATTGTACGTATGTACACGGATATGATCAATAATGCAATGCAAATTGCAAGAGGGGATATTGCAAAATAAGATATTAATATTAACCATATTATTTTAGGCTGTGATGTCAATCAATTTTATTTTTAATCAACTATCATTCGTTGAATGGTATTATATTATTAGCATACATAATAATAGCTAAATTTATCGGTGATTGAGCCACACAATTAATCATTATATATGTATATATGCACATATATATATAAATATATATATATATATATATATATATATGTGTGTGTATGCGTAATTTCTCATTTGACCTCGAACTATTTATTCATATTTGACAAAGTTGAAAAGTGACATCGGTATTAATAATGTTCTTTGGTTTTGGCGATGCTTGCTATTTCGGCATTATGCCAATTTTTGAAAAATTATACTATTGGTATTCACTCTATAAACACTATAAAAGTTATTTTCAATATTTTAAAAAAGCTATAATCTGTTTCATTTATATTTTAATTCTAAAATCAAATTAAGAAGTTTAATACAAATTATAATAGGTGGGTACTTTATGAATATTTTATATATTATTTACGCTTTATATAAAAGTAAAATTACATGAAGAATAAAAATCAAAATATAGATATTGATTACTATTATTAAAGAAAATGAAAATATTATAAAGATATAAATAAGAATTTTAATATTAACAAGGACACATAACAATGATAACTTATACAATGAAACGACACTATTAATAAATATCTAATTAGTCATGCTCCAATTATTATTGAGAGTTGCTGATTGGTTGTCCTCAATGTGTCAATCGCAATGAAAACTATAAAGATACTACTTAACCGTCGGCCCAATTTTTGTCTACTCTCCTGTCACAAGAGTGACAGCAGCATCTGTAGATCCGGCCACTTAAAAATCACTTAAATATATCGAAGATCCAGAAAATTGTTACTTTATCATATTTGAAGTCGAAAATCGGAAATATAAAAATTGAAGACAAAAATTGTAACAAATAACAATTCTATACATTATTTCTCGCGTGTGTTTATAAAGCTTTCATATTATTTAAAAATGACGGGTTACATGCCACCGATTCATATGCCACTTGAATCAAAGTGGCGACATTATCCGACGTATATCTACGACAGAAATTACAGTTACGGTATGAATTACTATCAGCCAATGATCGATTACATAGATACCAAGCAACGAATTCCGAGATCAGCTTCGTCAAAATTTGAAACAAGAATAGAATTACCCGAATTACCCTGGTCCGATGGTAGTATCTTGTGGGAGGACAAAAGGGTGCAACCCTATACAAAAGACAATCTCATTAAATACGCAATCAACGCCGAAGACGAGGCCAGAAATCATCTATCTCGCTTTAAGGTACGATAGTGCAATAGAAGAAAATAAATTAAAAAACAATAAAATAATAAAAAAAATAAAATAAATTGATTTGATGAAAAGTAAACTTTGAGGAAATACGAGGCGATCCGTTTTCCGAGTGCTGCGCGACTCGCTGACTATTTGACCTTTTCGATTTCTAAATCTGGTACCGCGGAAGAGGCTGCCTCGTTTCAAGTGATCAAAGACATGCGCGTGGATACGCGTGGATACGTCGCTATGTTTTCTCGTTTTGTAAATTTACTGTTGCCTGTTCTTCACGATGAAAATATCGGGCGCAACAATAATGTGAATTAACTTCAATTTTATTTTAATACAAGTAAAATGTGTGCGAGGAATTTGATATTTTAATAATAAATTAGAATTTTATTTACAATATTTATAATTTTATCGGTAATTTACACTTAATTCTCATATCAATTATATATAATCTCTATTATCTCATTATACTAATTAAATAAATAATAAATATAAAAGAAGTATGAAGTGTGTGGCCAATAATATTTTTGGAATAATAGTCTCTCTAGAAATCCTTTTATTTTCGTGTTTATAAAACGCAACTGTCTAGATGGTCCATTAAGAAATTCTAGTGCATTGTTATATTAAAGTGAATTGCATCACCCACACGATGCAATACATGTTTTGGCTTTGCTAATATTTGGCTGTTGAACATGTTATCTCCTCTAAGAAATGATTACTTATATTTTCGTCGAACGACAGGCACGTATATCTACATTTTTTTAGAATACAAATTCAAAATTCATCTGTCTTTTGACACTGATCTGTCTGACATATTTAGAAATATTATTCGAAGAGATTAGATGACGCATTTTTGTCCTCGGTCGATATTTAACAGACGAAACTTTTCCAAACAAACATTCGTCCGGAAAACTTTCATTCGTTCGAGCTACTAATAAAAATATCGCGAAAGAGAGACGCTGCCGAACGGTTTCTTGGCACTCTATTATTGGACTATTCCTCTGGTGGTTCTCCGATCAAGTCCGGGAACGGTCTGCCAAATCCACGGTATAAAAAATCCACATCTCGTGTCTCTCCCGGACGAAAGGAAGCCTAGGTGACGGCGATGCATTCGGATGCATTGGCAGTCGCTGTCGAGTCTTTAAAGAGAACCGGTCGGCCGCGAATCTCACTTTCGCATTCTGGATCGCCGCGGCTAAGTTTAGGCGTAAATATACGCGCGTATGCACGACGGAAAACGGTGGCGCCCGATAGACGCTCGTGCAAAAACGGGCAGGGTGCCGCAGAGCGTACAAAATTGATGCTGACTATCTTGTCTGCCTGACGTGCCCGAAGATAGCAAATCGCTCGGACTTCAGTCTGGCCAAAACTGTGCACGCCAGTCGCGTAACCAAGGATATTCTGCCGCGCACGGGAGAGAACCTGAGGAGACTGCCGACCATGGCCACCACCGTTATGACGAGGATGTGGAAAGAGATCAAGAAGAATCAACAGGAGACAACTGCAAGCAATGTGAAGCTGCAAGCGCTGAAGGACGTTCAGAGGATGAGCGAAGGACGGGAGGTATTGGAGTACGGTAAAAGTCTGCGAGGAAAATCCGCGAGAGCGATAGGATACCAACTGATGACGGAAACCCTGAAGAATCTCTCTCAGAGCCAAGAACTGGCCGATGTTCGAAACTTCCAAGGAGATAGTGTGCAGGCTATCTTGGATGCGAAAATTGTTAAAGCGCATGAGAGATTGATAGACGAGAGGACCAAGGCTCTGATCGACGAGGATAAGCTGACACAGCCGCTTGATAGACTTAGCAAAGAGCTGCGTGGATTTGAGCAGAAGTCCAGCGATTATTTTCTAGATAAGAGGTACCGAGATCGGGAAAGGCTTTTAAATAAGTGTCGAGGATGCGAGTATTATGTTAAGCGCGCTAGATAGGTAAGAGTTGTGTCTTGATCGAGTTCTCGAAGAAATAGCGCAGAGAAGTAAAAAAGTCGTAATTTTTAGAAAGATAGAAAACACTTATAATAATGCGTCAAATATTAAAATAAACGACTTCGATAAGCATTTCGTTTCACGTCTCTCTAGCAAGGATTTATATATAACTCCTTATATTTTAATACTTCCTCTTGTTTTATGCAATTATACATATTTTCAATGTTAACATTAATTTTAAAAAACAGGAGAATATTCCGAATAAAAAAGTAATTATATTTTATTTCTAATTCTCTGATTCTTTTAAGTGATCGTGCAAAAATGAAGCGATCGAAAATTAAATCCCAGGATGGATAAGATAAATTGAGGAAAATAATAAAAAAAAGTAGGAGAAAAAATATTTACAATAATTAAGAATAATAATAATTATTGCGAAAAATTCCTAGTGCGATAGAAGAAAGCAAAAATTGACAATTAAAAACATGACGATTTAAATTAAAATTTCGAGAATAACAAAATGATTTGAAATGTTTACATCGAATGAAATTAATTAGCAAACAGACCAGCATTGAAATCGAGCAGCTGAACGCCCGTGTAGTCGAGGCCGAGACGAAATTGAAGACCGAAGTCCAACGCATAAAGAAGAAGCTGCAGATCCAGATTACCGAGCTCGAACTGTCCCTGGATGTCGCCAACAAGAATAACATTGATCTGCAAAAGACCATCAAGAAGCAATCTCTCACTCTGACTGTAATATCATCTATACCATTTATATTTGCCAACGCGTCCGAAATATTGGCGATGGTATCACGTTGGATCATCTGGTTTTTCAGGAATTACAAGCCCATTACGACGAAGTACAACGTCAATTGCAAGTGACCCTGGACCAGTTGGGCATCAGTCAACGTCGCCTCCAATCATTGACAGCCGAGCTCGAGGAAGTTCGCGGTAATTACGAATCTGTAAGTGTATGAAATGATTTATTTAAACTTGATGCGCTAATTTTCTTTGAAAAAGGAATAATTATTTATATTACAATGTATTCGTTTAGTTTATCCTTTGGATAAGCAAAGGTACGACGAACATGACTTATGTAAGCGTTATATAATGGCGCTGTATGAAGCGTGAAATTGTTTCTGTCAAAAGGCTCTGCGTGCGAAGAGGACCGTCGAGCAACAATACGAGGAATCGGTTAGCCGCATCAATGAGCTGACCACGATTAACGTAAATATCGCTTCCTCGAGGGCTAAGCTCGAGCAAGAACTGTCTACTTTGGCCGGAGATTACGAAGAAGTCACCAAGGAATTGAGAGTCAGCGATGAGAGATACCAGAGAGTGCAGAACGAGTTCAAGCATACTGTCGAGATTCTCCATGAGGAACAGGAACGTATCGTCAAGATCGAGGCTATCAAGAAATCCCTGGAGATCGAAGTGAAGAATTTGTCCGTGAGATTGGAAGAGGTTGAGGCCAACGCTATTGTTGGAGGCAAGCGCATCATCAGCAAGCTTGAGGCCAGGGTGAGAAGATTACGAACGCCTTCTCCGAATTTACAATTGTTTTCTAAATATACAATTCGATCTTATATACTTTATTGATGTTGCTCTTCCCGTAGATTCGTGATCTGGAGCTGGAGCTGGACGAGGAGAAACGCCGACACGCCGAGACCGTGAAGATTCTGCGCAAGAAGGAACGCAACATCAAGGAGGTGATGATCCAAGTCGAGGAGGACGCGAAGAATATTTCCTTGCTGCAGGAGACGCTTGACAAGGCCAGCCAGAAGGTCAGCATCTACAAAAGGCAGCTGCAGGAGCAGGAGGGCATGTCCCAGCAAAGTGTCACCAGGGTTCGCCGATTCCAAAGAGAGCTCGAGGCTGCAGAGGATCGTGCCGACACCGCGGAGAGCAACTTGAGCTTGATCCGGGCCAAACACCGCAGTTTTGTCACCACCTCAACTGTGCCCGGCTCCCAGGTATACCTTGTCCAGGAGACGAGGCAGGACCTGTCTTAAACCACCATCATAAAGAACATCTTTGCCACTTTAAATGTCGCGTCTTTATAAATGTACGTATAATACAAAGACACCTTATATTTCATAATTATATTTTTTTAGTAATTGTAATTAATCTTATAATTGAAAAATTTATTGACGATAGATTTTTTCAATTATTTGTGACTTACTTTTAATAGGAAACCGTGAACACGTTGAGAAAGAGAAAGGACAAAGACGCGATCAACAATCATATCATAAGAGCTGAGAGTTTTCACGGCGTGTTATTTTCGAGGGATAAAAATTGGAGCAACCAGATCACATATGCATAAATATACATATAAAATGCGAGTGCAGTTATATAACGACCCGTCGTAAATTCGAAATTGCTTTGTTAACGAAATGCGCGATACGTCGCAACGAAAATGTTTAAAGTAAAGGGAAAAATTAACGCTCACTATTTAAGGGATCCGCGCAAAGCATCAGAAATGTCAAACTCGAGAATCGATGATGTATCGTTCAACGATACAGCAACAAAATAACAAAGCTAAATCGAAATCTTCTCGTCCCAATTATGTAAGTATAATCGAGCGTAAGGGCAGAGAAACAAAAACGGCTAAGGAACATGAGAAAAGAGCAGTGGCAATTTATGCCATTTCTATTCGCGCGTGTCGCAATTGTACTTAAATATATATAACTTTAAAAATCTCTCTCTATTCTATTACTACATTACTAGATAGGTAACTATTACCCATATACACAACTCTCACTGTACAACATACCAATAACCTGTGTCAACATTAATTTAATAAATAAAGTGAAACGCGTACGTACGAACACGTTTTGTGTTTCATTTCCCATGCTTCTGACAAACATTGCCCTACAAAATTTTATCAGCGGAGCTTTGATATAATCAATAAACAAATTAATCGACGAGAATTTATCTCATGCTATGTACCATATATTAAATATATCTGCACAAAATTAATATATATATTAATTAATATATTCATAAAATAGCGTATTTGAATTATTAATTGCAAGATAAGTAATACGATAGGAAATGCTAAAGAGTGAACAAAGAGATACATTAAAGTAAATTTAATTTATTCGAGCTAATTTTATTTTCGGACCACTATGGCGTTTATTAGTAGGATCCGCTTTAGGAAAGCCAGATTTGTGAAACCCAAAACGTATGAGAATCTATTTCTAATCATGCATCTGTAAAATCGTTAAATCTATTTTATCAAACTTTTCTCTTGCGCTGAATGATTAGAAAAATGTATTGATAAAACGCGTTAAATCTCATCTCGTACACGTTGGGCTCCAACAATCTCGCGTTCCCAATTACAAATCAGAAGTTAATAATACTTAATAACATTAGGTACGTATATCTATTAACAATATTAAGATCCATCCACACTGCCAGGCACGCTTTATACAGCGGCAGCAATTATAATTAATTGATTGATTGATATATTAAACAAGTCACCGGCTTTTATTTTATAAATCGTAGAAAATTCGATTTTTTAATAAAAAATGAACGCGTCGTAAAGATTTACCGAACGACATACTGTTCGTTCATTATTATTATATCATTATTATTAACAGAGAAACGTAGATAGAGCCGATTACTGTATTTAAGCCACGAGACACGCGAGATACGATATTGCGATAATTAGATATAGAAAACGGTAACTCATGGGATCGTCAGTGCTCTCGCATGTGTTCGTGACTTTGTTAACACTATAGATCATTTTACTTCGAGAAGAGTAAGTATTTCAGTCTTTCGAATATGTACCAAATCAGGAAGCTTTCTAACAAAATACGGTCATAGAAAGAGTTGCTGTTCTCTATTTTATTTATTTTTTTTATTACTTTTTTATCAATATTTTTTATTAATTTTATCAATATGCATTGTGTAATTCGATATTTCAAACAATTCGACTCAATATAGATTTCATTTTGCTTTGTATAAACTTTCTCTGTGTGATTCATTATTTTTTATTTCTATTATAATATGAGCCGACGACAGACACTCCGCAAATCTCTTCTATTTCAAGATAAACCATTTACAGCAACAACCTTCTGTGATATAATTATATATTGATTGCGGTATATTTAAAGAGATTAGATGAAAAAATAGGAGACGCGAGACATACTTTTTATAAACGTTACGAGTAATCCAAGAAAAAAATATACCATTCACCAACTCACCCGTTATTACGAAAATTACAAGTGCTCATTCTATCATTATATGTAAGTTGTCGATAAACATTTACACCATTATGTACAGAGTATTATACAATAACATGGGAAACACAAAGAATAAAAATAATGATATAATAATGATTAATAAATCATCGATAATAATATTATTTTTTACATACATGCGTGTATAGAGGAAAGTGCGTATATATGTATATATACACATACCCACACACACACCCTATCTAAACTAATAATGTAATTCAAGAGAAATAAAAAATTAATCATAAATATAGTAATTTAATTTGGAAGCTTTCCCGTTTAATTTAATTTTTTTTTTGCATTAATTAATACGAGACAAACGAAATAATAACTCGTAATTTAAATTAGTATTGAATAAAGGAAACAATAAATTAGCAAAGTTATATAACAAAATTTTCTGATATATTTAAAATTTCACATATAACGCAACTATACTTTTACTTGATTAAACAAATATTCGAAATTATGTATAATCCACTTAACAAAGTTGTACGAGCTAATTTGTTGAATATAATTAATGCTTATAAAAACAATATAATAAAATAAGATTAACTATAAATATAATATTGTAATTATTATTAGAGACATTTGTTTAATGATATGAAGAAAAATATATATAGAATAAAAAAGTTGTTTCTTTAAAGATCTTATAATCGTTCAAAATTCGCAACATGTCTTCTGAACCATACAAACAATAAAAAATATTTTTGGTCTATAAATCTTCAGCAATCAGCAATGATTATTATTTGTATAATATATGTCATCAATTAAAAAATCGCACTGTTCTGATTTAATCATATTACAAATAATCATTCTCTTATAATAATTATAAGACTCAATAATTTCTCGTTAGTCTAATTTATCGTATAATTTTCTCTTCTATCGAAATAAAAATATCTTTTTACAAACAAAAATAGAAGAAAAGAAAATTTCTTTTCCATATTCCAAAACACACTACTTATAAATTAAATAGCAATAAAATGTAGCTAAACGACTGATGTTAATATATTGACAATTAATATATTTTTATACATCTAATTATCTGTAAAAAAAAAAAACAAAAAGTACTTGCTAGATTTTATAAATACAGCCACATTAAATAGCAGACAAGATAGAAGTAAAGGAATTAGCATATCGATAACAATTCTGTAACTCTTCGATTTTTTTTCTGTCATATAAAATAGGATATTTCTATAATATACTTAATATAGCTTCCTTCCCTAAAATGTATATACACATATTTAATTATTATATATAAAATACCTATAATATACCGAATATAAAATATCAGAACAATGCGACTTTTTCCGACAACAAGTTTCTCCTTTTCCACCGGTAATCATTATATAAACACTGGTATCATCTAAAGCGTAAAACAAAATAGACGGTGAATCGTCTTAAAGGTACCAAGTTTCTTTCCCTCTAGCGGAATCGATACGCGGATAAATACCGCGTGTGCAATGTTCTCTTCTAATTTATTGTTACTCTTTTGTACAAGTGTGTATAGGGGGAAAGAGGTTTTTAAACAGTAGGGAGCGGAAAAGGCAGAGGATGAAATATCATTTGGCAGTTCGGCATTTGTCGGATATAAGTCAGACAGCGTTCGACAGTTCGACCCAGTTGCAATTAAGAAGAGATCAGGAGTGACATTGATAATATCGTTGCCCGGAAATATAACTGGCGATGGATACAATTGTATATAAAGAGGAAAAATATCTTTTTGTTGAATAATCATATGTATTCATTCATTGACTTCTAATTAATATTGTAATTCGAATTAATTTTTAAATCTTTTTTATATTAAATGTGTGTATTTTCTGTTAAGAGTGAATTAAAAAAAAAAATATTTCGTGTGCAGGAATTTATCTTCTGTATTTAATTCTTAATCCTGAAACTTAGATTTAACGTATGAAGCTTCTGTTTTAACGTGAATCTACGTCCAAGATATTTTTCCTTAATTAAGGATGAATGTAACTCGTTGTGAAAATAAAACGTATATTACTATTTTATATTACTACTCTTGTTTCTCTCGTTTTAATTAATACTCGATCAGGTATTGGCACAGAGTTGTACTATGGAAACAGCTGTGATGGAGATATTGTGGCGAGCTTGTGACATTCGATCGATAGGTCTGTGCATATCAAGCACAGTATATTAAAAACGTCAAATCTCGCGAATAAACGGACTATCATTATTTACGTATGATAAATTAATCTACATGTCAGGAATGTATAGAAGCGAGCAAAGAAACGGAACTCCATTTTTGGAGCGACAAGACCCACATAATATCACCGATAAGTATTACGTTTCTGGTTTATACCCGAATTAAAAACATTCTCGCATATAAACTTCTGTTTACTAACAATAAGTTTAGAATAAACATCAAGTTAAAAAATTTCATAAGAATAAAACCCTTCGAAACTTCGTACTTATATTTTAAAAAAATTAGGAAGATACTTAACTACTTTAAGAGACAGTCTTACTTCTGTTTCCGTAATAATTGAAAATATAGAACAGGAAATTATTAAATCGATTAGATAAAGTAAAATTAATTTCGATGGTAAGATATGAAAACAAATAAAATAATGTACGGGAAAAGAAGAATAACATTACAATAGTGATAGAAAAATTTAAGATTTCGGATTCAATAATAAATTGTTTTAAAATCAATAAGATAAAATAAAATTCAAATTGAGAAATCAGTAACAATTTTGTCAATCAAAAATAATTAGAAGAAAATTAACTTTTAACTTCAAGATAAAGAGCATATAAATAAAATTATCCTAAGTGTATTAGGGTCACGGTTAATTTGAAGATAAAAGCATAAAAAAGTGAATTCTGATTTCAATCTTAATTAATCATTACCTATTAATCGAATATTAATCGAACATTGTCAGTCTTTTAGAAAATTACGGGTTGAGCATGTCATATGTCACTCCATTACAATCGAATCATATGATTCGTTATATATTTCCTATCTCCTATTGTCTGTCAAAAAAATAATTTCCTGAAAGTAATGAACGACTCAATTTTGAAAGATACATTTGTCTATGTCCATTTACATTAAAATGCAGATTGTTCTTAATTTAAAGTTCAAAAATAATACATATGTTGAATAATAATAGCATTGCAACATAGTACAATTCCGAAACATGTTTGAATACAATAATGTTTCCAATTGTATACATATATATATTAGCAAATGTAAAATACACATGCATATACATATGCATAATACGATTGTTAAATATTAATAAGAATATTTAATATTGTATTTTAATTATTAATTCTAGATTAGATTCTTAAAGAATCTGTTAAAATTAAAAATTATTTTTTTTGTTATATTACTTTGTTTTTCTATTAAAAAATGAAAAATTTATATCTTCATTAAAAGATACATATGTATGATTGTTCATATATTAGATTACATTAGTCAATATATATTACTAAATTAAGAATTATCTGCACCGATTTATATAAAGATACATAATTTCATACACATGAAACTATTGCAACTGGATCGGAACATTGCGAACATATAAAAACGGAAGAGGAAAATTAGCGTGACGTTCAATCAACGTCATCGATAAAAAACAATATATAAAAATACGATTATATGGGTCAGAGGATCCTCCGTTTTTTTCTTCTATAATATAATAATAATTGTAACTTCGCAGACTTTTACTTTGACTATTGGATGACGAAGATTCTTATTTTTTTCTGTGTTCTTTCTTGCGAATTCTCTTATATATTTCATGCAACTTTACTCGCCTCTTCTCTTTCACTCCGAATAAATCGTTTTTCATATTTCTTTCTCACTTCGTCAGAAGTATACACTATATACTATTACCGATATAATCAATTATTCGTGAAAGAAGAGAAGAGTCCGCTCTATTCTTCGCGAATAAACAAGTAAGGAGGAACAGACTTTTCTCTTCCTCGCCGATAATTATATAATTATGTTTCGCAGAGAGGCATTTCCGCATATATGCATACTCGTCACATTCTCTCATAATCTCGCAGTATACCAAATTTATATACCTATCTCGAGCACTACGATTGCTTTTCAACTCACTGAAATATAGCGCATAGATGTATATGAAAAGTTGATCTTTCTTTAGAATTATAAAAAAATGTACAAAATAGTATTTTTAGCAAAGTTTTTTCTCTAACGCATACTATTAATACAATTCGATGGAAATAATCCAAAAAACTTTAAACGTGGTTATGTCAGAAAAAACCAACTAAAAATATTGTTTCTTATAAATAAAATATTTTTATATTAGTTTAATAAGACTAAGATTATGTACATAAAATTAAATAAATTTCATATGCTTTAAACATTGTAAAGTATTTTTTAAAAATCTTATTTTTGTTTAAATTTAAAGTGTAAGACAGGCAATAAGAGCCAAATCGCGGATGACAGTGCGTTATCCCAACGAAACTAAATTTTTCGTTAGATTAATTAAATACCTGTGCACAAGGCACCAAATTTTACTTGATCACGGCCAAGATTTAAAATTGGAATAATCTCTACAAGAGATTTAATTCCATACATCCGCTGTTCCCCCCTAACAATGAAATGCGAGAGAAAAATATAGATCCGAAAGTCGCTGAATCGGGAATCGAACCCGAGACCTTTCGCTTGCCGGGCGACTGCTCTTCCGCGATTTGACTCTTATTGCCTGTCTTACACTTTAAATTTATATTTATATTACAGAGCCTTTGTTAAACTCTTAACTTATTTTTGTTATTTAATCTTACATTTTATAACTATATTTTTAAATTAAAACCTAAAAAATTTGTTTCTTAATATTTGACACGTACAGAGAATTATTATAGACTATTATAAAGAATGTATTGTTAAAAATGATGTAGCAACACTTTGAGTAAATTATTTGGAAAATCCACAAATTATATTGTTATACTGGTTGGTTTCTTCTTGTCTATAACTACGTATACTCTAATATATTCTTCGTCTAATATATTTAATTAAAATGTTCACCTTTTTCGCTATATTTCATTCCTTTCTTACGCAAAAAAATAAATTCCCGAAAAAATATAGATCTTCAACGATTCTCTTTTTATCGAATTTGTCCTCTCGCTTCTTCTTCTTTTTTTTTATATCCTTAGTCCAGCTTCGATCACATTCTCGCACGTTTCTCATACATTCGTATTCTCATGCCACGATACACGTGCTGTTGAATTTAACATATTTCAATTTCAATCTTTCTGCGTCACAAAGGAAACATACTTTGAAAGTCTCGCCGTACTTCATTGCCTCGTATCATTTTTCGTCTGATTACACAAAAATATTTGTTTGAGCAAAACATTTGGATTCGTGTCTATACTAAGAGTGTTGGATCGATAAAAAAATCGGACGATACGTCAAAGTTCCCAAATTTTTATCGATACATACTTTTAACGAGCTCTTCATTCTCGATAAAAAAAAAGCAATCTTTATTCGCACTATCCAAATTTATTGAATGTCCATAATCCATTAATCGATTGTCCGATTTTTCCATCCACCCTGTATAATCATTTTAATCGAACTCGATACTCTTTTCGAAAGGAAGGCAAACCAAAAGATATGCATATTTCTTTTATAACACGGTATATGCTCCCAATATGATTCCAGTCTTTGCGTATTGGTAAAATAGCGAATCTCTACGGTAAAGTTTCAAAACTAAGATAGAAAATTGTGTTATTCCGTTGTAAAGGCCTTTCTCACACATATGGTCTGTCGACGCGTTCGGATCTGACAAACTGATACGCTTAAATCTCATACAATATCCTGATCATTTCCGATGAATTATACTCGTGCGAATGTATCAAACAATTCATTGAAATAATTTATTTACAAATTCGCCCAAACAAAATGAATAGTTCGGTTAATCGAATACGGTTATATTCTACAAACGCGAATATATATAATATATAATTATATACGTATGTGAATACATATTAATATACAAATATATTGTTACTCATTAGTATTAATTAATAAACGTTGCTATAATAAATTTGTATACTTCATTATTTAGTATTTCATTAGTATTATTGTAATAAATATGCAGCAGAGTGTGTGTGCATGTGTGTTTGCGCATGTAAATTTGTGCGATGCATAACCGAACAATCGTTCAATTAACCGAACGACGCGATTTTCTATCGATCTATTCGCTCGAGTAACTAATCATCGGAAAATTAAAATAATCATGTTTTCTCTTAGTATTTGTACGCTATCAGTCGTTCAAATCGATCAACACGCTTGAAAATCCATTTTATTTTTTCTGTTCACAGCTTGCCGCAGAGAGCCCAACATGATTATACCAATTATACTCGTACAGTATTCTTATTCGAAACTCGGGATTAATCTCGCATAACGAAATCCCATAATTACAGTCGGTCTTTCTTCGTACGATTTTCGAAGAATATCTATTTACGCTACCAAAAGTTCTGTTCTATTGCATCGAATTTTTTTGATAGCAATATACCAATCAAAATTTTTCGCGCATATATATCAATCGATTTTCTAGCAGCTGTCGAAGAATCCGGCAAAAGCTTAATCTATTTCAGGTCCTCCATTGCGCCGTAATTAGCGAGCGATTTCTTGATCCTGAGTGCGGTTAGCCTAGCGGCGGCGTTATGGTACCAACATTCCTTCATTACCTTTGACATTACCTGCAGTGCCTAAAGAAATAAAACAAATCATTTATTATCAATTTAATTTTACATTATATAAAGAAAAATTCTTTATAGTTAGAATTTTAATTATAATTTTAAGTTGGATAAATAAATACACATACAATCGTAAGTTTATATATATAAGTAATCACAAACAGAAGTAATGATCAATTAAAGATTAAATAAATATTTAATACAATTTATTTTCTTATGCAATTTCATCGGCGAAATACTACTTATTTAATGTATATTTAAGTTACATTCTTCGCCTCAATGCTTACTTCGATCGACTGCCATCGATTTGGTATCGACGGCCGTTGTCGGTCTATGCACACGACTTTCCGCATTTCCTCGATAGTTGGATCGGAAGGCACCAAATCGTAAAAGGGCAGCTGATACTCATCGTGAATCCCGCCGACGTTGCAACGCCTAGCGATCTCCCAAAGGATAAGGCCGAGCGCGTACACGTCGGCCCTCTTGAACGAGTCGAAGTGGTTCATGTTTATCGTCTCTTCAAGAACCTGAAAGCAGAAAGCGTTTGCACGAGTTATTGAAGAGCCGCTTTCCTGACCTGAGTGCGCAGGCCCATTCAAATTATCTTTGATATTTTTATCTTCGCTGATAATTATTATCTTTCCATGTATTTTTGCCAAAAATTCTTTACTCTTCAGTATCCCTGTCTCGGTGAAAAAAAATTAGTCTCTTACCTTAATTAATTATATATAATTATATATAATTTTACAATTACTTCTCACTTCTAAAATAAAATGAAATAAATCTTTGATAATCAGATTGAAAAAAAATTATAGATCAAATTTTATCTAATCCCAGATTAATTATTAAAAATAGTTATTAATTAAATAAATTAATAAAACATTTTGTGATAAATATTATTATTATTATTATGTATATTGCCCATTAATATTATTAAGCCTGATTAATATTTAAATTTCTTTTTTACTCCTTTTTGAAAATAGGAAGTATTATATAAGTTCTTTTATTCACAAAGAAAATTTTCTTTTAGAATTTATCCTGGAAAACATATTAATGGTGGGACAATATAGTATTATATTAGAAGAATTTTATAAAAGATTCTCTGATTAATATTTACCACAATAAAAAATTCTATCACAATAAGATATATAAAATATGTTTGATTAATGTTACTAAACAATATATATAATAAAATTTCAATAATTTTTAAATATGTATATTAAAAACTATGTTAAAAACTTATGATTCTCTTTAAGTCTCTTTTAAATGCAGCATAATATTTTCAATCTAGCTTAATCGCGCATAAATTTTAACATGTAACATAATAATTTTCGGGTTATTAGCAAACATGATAAAACTTGTAGTGAATTTTGGGGCAAAATCTAAAGAAAAAATGTATCTGCGTGTAGAACCAAAGAAATAATTTTTTCGTATAAGAACGATAATTACCTCGGGCGCCATGTATCGCTTCGTGCCGACTCTGTTGTTGAGCTGAATGTCGACGGTATCCGTGATTACGTCGTGCCTGACGGCTAATCCGAGGTCGCCTATGGCGCAGGTACCATTAGTCTTCACAAGGATATTTTTTGACTTCAGGTCCCGATGAGCGATAGCCGGCTTGCCTTGCGTGCCAACTATATCCATGTGAAGATGCGCCAAGCCGGTAGCGATCGACAAGGCCATCCTTATCATACCGTTCGTGTCGACGGTTGATCTGTTGAGGTAATCGAAGAGGGAACCCTTCTCGTGATAATCCGTTATCAGCCACAATTGTGTCCATGTACCGTTATCTGCGAAAAAAATTCATTGATCAATTCACAATTTATTCCAGAGACTTAACTTGATTGTTAAGCCCTCTCATAAAGCCCAGTATTAAAAGATAAAATATATATAAAATATAATAAAAATCGATAGAGAACACATGAATGTTTCACGTAATCCAATTGTCTATCCATTTGAAATTTGGCTCTAGAAATAAAATGTTTCTAATCAAATATTATTTGGATATTTTTGCTTGTGCAATTCTTTAATTTTACTGAATCTAATATTATAAATATAAGTATTATATTCTTAAGTATATATTTTAAAATCGAGATTACAGTTCTTATTTACAAACTATTTAAAACAATTTTTTTAATTAATAAAAAGTATATAATATAAAGAATAAAATATACGGTTTCGCGAGATTTTACCTGAAAATTAGATTTGTGAATATGCAATACCTTTATTATCGGCAGCGATGAAACCTAGGATGTTGTCATGCCTCAACATCACCGTCTGATAGATCTCCGCTTCTCGAAACCAGGATCTCTCCTCTCGCGAGCTAAAGATTTTCACGGCGACATTCTCGCCGCGCCAACGACCGCGCCAAACCTCGCCGAAACGACCCTTTCCGATCGTCTCCACGAGCTGGATCTGGCGCGCTATGCTCCGCTGTACCAGAAGCGGCAGGCCTACTTGAGAGAGGATGGGCATTGGAGAACGCAAATTTCAGTATGATTGAAGATGACTCACGCGTTGCGTTGTTAGTGAATATTTGACCGAGAGATAAATAGATTAAACGCGCATATGTAATAATAAACTTGACAGCAACTTTATAAGAAAAATATATATATTAGTAAACAAGATGTTGTAGCGATTGACCAATTTAAATTTCGCGAGTTCGGTAATTAAAGCTTAGAAATGTTAATGCGGCAACATTAATACATATGCGCGTTTACAATGTTAGTATCTATATTATATTTATCAGACAAGTGCATTTAAGAAAATATGCATTTAAAAAATTTAAAAATATGCTAAAACAGAATATATATTTTAATTTATTGTAAATTATTTATGTATATATGTTTGTGTATAATTACAATAAAATTGTGTAATTATTATTTATACATAAAGAGAATTTTCTCTTAGAATTTATCCTCAAAATCACAGTGGAATAATATGATATTGGAAGAATTTTATAAAAGTTTCTCTGATTAATATTTATATCACAATAAAAAATATTAATAGTAAACTTTACTATGTACATGATAAGTTTATTGTAGTAAATATTAATCAGAGAAACTCTTATTATTACCATGATTTTCACGATAAATTTTAAGAGAAAATTCTCTCTATGTTCTCTATATTTAGCAATTAAGAAAAACTTGACTGCTAAAATTAAATACTAAATTTTTACTTACAAGGGACATGTCACAACTGTCCGGAACCGATTTGATTCTCCTTGAAATATGTTGTTAAATACACAAATCTAAAAGACACGTATTTTTTTATACGTGCGCAATTTGAGTTTTAAGGGGTGAAACACCCCTTTAAAGAATAACGGTATTTTTCTTTAGGATCAAATATCTGCTAAACTATAAGAGATATAAAGAAAAAACGTACAACAAATTTTAATGGCTTGAAGAGTACTTTAAAGTTATATGAACAAAAATTTTTTTTTTTTTTTTTTTTTTAAAAACCCTCACCACCTAATTTTTTTTTTCAAAATTAAAAATTTTGTTTTACCTAATTTAAAGCTTATTTTTTTCCAAATTCAACCATGTGTAATAAAGTTATGTTACGAAATATCATTTTCGAAAATTAATTATAAACGCTCCCGTATATACGCTCATCCGTGCTATGTGCGTAAGTAATTACCGTCGAACAATAAAATATATAAAAAATGTTTTTGTATAATTCTTATTTATGTTTTCTATGTATTTATAACTGTGTATTGTGTATATTTAGATTTTTTTAAAAATGTATTTGCATTTTATATTATTCACTCATTATACACATTACAATAATGATATTCGACAAAAAAATGTTTCAAACATAATGACTTCTTGCACCAAGAACATCTTACTACAGCTATATTATTGCAACCTTCGATATCACATTTTGTTAAAGTTTCGTCTAAACTAAAGTGTACTGGATTTTCGAATTCGTCTGGTCTTTCATTCGTATAACCACTTTTAAACCACGAATATTTAAATAAGTTTTGATATCGTGGGGATGACAATTGATTATGTATCAAAGATTGCAATTTTATTATATTATTTCGTTCATGTAAGTTTATATTACTTTCCAACAGTAAAACCGCATCTGAAAATCTTTTAGCAAAATTTTTCCAAATTCTGAATCCATAAACATCTAATGGTTGTATTTTCCCTGTAGTTCCTTTCGGTATTATCATAGTAGTAATATGTGTTCCAGGAGGTGTTAAATCCGAAATCATATTGGGGCAATGTCCAGTCCATGAATCGATAAGAAGAACGCTATTAGGACCAATGTTTGCGAAATAAGCTTCTTCTAACCACATTTTAAAATGATCTGTACAAAATATAAATGTTAATTTAATAGTTTTTTTATGACTCTTATTAAATTGTTAAATAAAATAAGGTTGTTAAAAAAAGTAATTATAAAAGGAAAATACCTGATGTCATTTTACCAGATTTCGATGCTTTTACAATAACATTTTCTGCTTTAAATAAATTTTCTTGTACTCTTGGTCCAAATTTACCATTAGCTTCTTTTAATACAATAAATAAAGGGGACAACAAATTGCCATTACAGGATATTATTGGTTGTATCGTATATGAATGGGTTGTTGATGATATGGATTGCACGACACGTTCTACTTTCTTTTCTCCCTGGTTAGACAATGATCTTCCAGAGTGAAGTTCCAATTGGAAACCACTTTGATCTGAATTGTAAATATTTTCAGATCCAAACTGTTCAATAAGAGGTTTTACTGTTTCCAGAAAATCATCAGCTGATTTTTGCAAATCAGCAGAATCTTCTAATGTTCTTCTAGTGACAAACTTCGTAACTTTTCTTGAAACAATTCGGTGAGACTTCTTAAATCTTGCTATCCAACTGTGAGATGCTTTAAATATAGGATTTAAATTTCCTATTTCTTCTTGAGCTTGTAAAGCCCATCTTTTTAAATCAATATCATGAACCATGAATCCTGATTCGACAGCTGCAGTAAATTTATCATGTGTAAATTTGGAGATGTAAGATAATTTTTCTGTACGACTTCCACCTGATTGTATTTGTTCTTCCCATCGCCTTAACTGACGTTCAGATGAAACTCTTCTAAATTTATTTTGTACTACTCTTAGAGGACGATTCCTTTTTCTGTCATTACTGTTTTCATCAGTGTCCCGAAATCGCCAATACTCAACAGCTCGTCTTTTATAAGAACTATCAAAATTTGTATCATCATTTGAACAATGAGGATGAGAATTTAAACTATCTTCATGCCATGCTTCTTCGTCATCTTCAATTATTTCAAAACTATGTAATTTATAAGGTTCTTCATAATCGAGATATATTTCTTCCGTTACTTCCACCCCATTATAATGAAAAACGCTATCCAGTAATATTTTTTTAATGTTTTCCTTTAATTCCACTTCTGCTTCAGTTACTGGCGTTTCTGTTAAATATATTGAATTTATTGACACCAATAAAAGTCTAACAACGTTAAGCGGATTGATAATCATATTCAAAGATGTTATATTTTGCTTTCTATTGCAATAAAAGAACAGTTTACACAGATATTATTACAACGAAAAGACTACACCGACTGTGAGAATTATGCTGCTACATGAACAATTTATATTAACTTATCAGAAATACGTCATCACATAATCTTATTTTATTATTTATTTTAACGTATTAAAGATTTTATTGTAAAAATTATAACTTATCTGGAACACGTACACATAATCTTATCTTATGATTCATTTAACGTAAGATATAAAATTTGTTTATGCCAAATATTGCGACATTGGTATTCGCAAGATTCAATTAAAAAATAATTTTATTATAAAATATAATTGTTTTTAATTTTTATAGAAGAAATTAAATATTAAAGAAATAATAAGAAAGCAGGGGGTATATTTAAAAAATTCTTATTAATTATATTTAAAAATTTTTTTTTAAATCTAAATATACACAATACGCAGTTATAAATACATAGAAAACATAAATAAGAATTATACAAAAACATTTTTTATATATTTTATTGTTCGACGGTAATTACTTACGCACATAGCACGGATGAGCGTATATACGGGAGCGTTTATAATTAATTTTCGAAAATGATATTTCGTAACATAACTTTATTACACATGGTTGAATTTGGAAAAAAATAAGCTTTAAATTAGGTAAAACAAAATTTTTAATTTTGAAAAAAAAAATTAGGTGGTGAGGGTTTTTTAAAAAAAAAAAAAAAAAAAAAAATTTTTGTTCATATAACTTTAAAGTACTCTTCAAGCCATTAAAATTTGTTGTACGTTTTTTCTTTATATCTCTTATAGTTTAGCAGATATTTGATCCTAAAGAAAAATACCGTTATTCTTTAAAGGGGTGTTTCACCCCTTAAAACTCAAATTGCGCACGTATAAAAAAATACGTGTCTTTTAGATTTGTGTATTTAACAACATATTTCAAGGAGAATCAAATCGGTTCCGGACAGTTGTGACATGTCCCTTGTTAGATAATATATTATATAATCTAAATATTTTTCAAAATTACATATAATTAAAGGTTACATTAAAAAATTATAAATTGCAATTATTTGTATTCATCATGTTCTGACTAATTATTGATAAATGTGTACCCGTGATATAGAATAAACCAAACATGTGTGTATGTATGACAGTATGCTTCTGTCAAAATCCATGTAGATTCAAAAAATATGCTATTGCCTTTTAACTCATCATTCAATAATAACCATCTTTAATTTAGTTTGACCTACCCGAGCCACTGCCGCTCGTAGTCATCTCCAACATGTCCCTGATGGTGACGCCGCCCAGAATTGGCCGGTCCGGGGCCTCCAGCGAATCGTCCGGGAAGTGTCTGGCCGGTCTCTTTTTGGTCATGTGTATATGATAGATGACCATAACGATCACGCAGATCGCGCATATTGGCAGTGCTATCGTCAAGGCCATTTTCCAGGTGACCCACGTCGCGTCATCGCCGCTCGACGGCACTTTTGGCGAGATATATGTCCGGTTATTATTCGCATGTGGGAAGCGCCGACGGTGAAACGTTAATTTCAACCGCGGTGCATTATATGCTTAAATGATGCCGTATTCCATACATCATTATGCCAGCAATATTCAACTCCCGGATATGCGTGCCACATATCCTGCCTCAAGGTTTGCGAGCAAATTACATGGATGCAAAAAGTTGTCTTAAATATGCAGCTCAATTATGTAATAAAGCAAAAAACTTGGGATTCTTCACATGTTGCCCAAGTTTGTTAATGATTACATATTATCTATAATTTTTTTTTTATTTATATTCGTATACAAGGAAAGTTGAATATCACTGACTTTGAAAGTAAAAAGTTTCGTGGGAGTATACATCGATCGGAATCAGTATTGCATCGTTTATTCGAAAGTAAGCAAGCAAGCAAGCACTAGCAGAAGAGAGAGCCGAGAAATGTAGGCGTGCAGCAAAAAGCGAAAACGCAAAGATAAACAATGCAACAAAAAATGTCAAAATGAAAATAAAGCACAAGGCGTTAATAGCGGTTAAACAAATATATTCAAAAGGGATTTAATGCACGGGAGACCAGATTTTAAGTAATTTTAATACAGATTATTTCACCGATAACTTGATTCATGGCTGAACCTATGACAGATCATGGCTGAAAAAAGAATGTCAGAAATCTTTCAATTTAAAAAATTAATCATGTGTGTAAACGTGCAATTACGTCTCGATAATTTACTATTTTAATTATTATAATTTCGATAGATTCGAAATGAAATTTGATAAGGAGATCTTGTGAGATGAAGCAAGTCAGTTTTTCTAGCAACCTTGAATCTTATACTTTTATGAACCTTTGACAGTTATTAATGGTGCAAACTATAAATATATAAAAACAATTGTTTGTCGCAGTTTTTGTCTTCATTTATACTTGGAACGAACGATCTTTTGTTCATTGAAGCCCTTGATCATAGAATGTCTATGCGTGTTAAACTCGCGGTAATCTCTTGTTATACGTGATGCAACAATTAAACTCACGTCGTGACAGATTGCATTATAGATAGACGTTTTTCCAACGCATCTTATCGAGACGTTTGCAGCACATTGAGCACATAACTGGACTTACCTGTGAGTCGTAATGTTGAAGAACGTTAAGATGTATTCTTCCGAAGCATACAAATGCTGTTAATTGGTCATTCATTGAAAAACTACACAAATGTTAAGTGAAAAATGATATTAAACAATATTCGAAAGTTAATCAAATTGTCATGGTGTGACGTCAAATAAGAAATTATTTTAAAATATATCGTTTATTTTAAATCCTAATAATTCGATATTTAAAATTCGCAATATAAAATAAATCGTAGAAGATCCGCAAATTCCCCAAAAATTTACGAATAAGTTTATAAATATTCCAGAAAGAAAAAGCGTCGTATTTAATCTATTTCTCAATGAATATAAAGACAATTTTGGTGATTTATACAAGCCCGATAAATATACATAATAAAAATATTGAATATAAAGTTTAACAAAATTATGACCATAATTATTTAAATAAATTTCCGTCAAAAATTATTTTGAAAAATTATACGAATCTAATTATAAAACATTGTAACATATAATTAATTAAACCCTATACGCGCGAATAATATAAATTAATAACTTTTCCAACATTGCTAAAATTCCCATAAAGCTGTTCTTGTATAAAATGATTAATGTAAGAATATCAAGAGATATCAAAGTTCAACAGGACATAAGGATTGAAGAGATGATAAAATTCGAATAAACTAAAACAAACAAGTACGATTCATCGTGGAATCAAACAGTCGGAAAATTCAATTAGGTAGGGATATCTATGAATATGCAGGTAGAATCACGATATAATTGATATGGATTTCTGATGAAGATTTCAATGTGATGTGACAGACAACACGGGGAGAAGAGATTCACTGATGAATGATCGCACGTCCAACAATGATTTTCCCAACAATAATAGGGAGATAATACGAAATTTTGTACCTTGCTGACGTGATAAAAAATATTGTTCGTAAAAATACGTCACTTAAGTAATAATTTTTGTAGTTGTTTCGTTTCGGTTGTTTCGTTGCATAATGTTTATAAATTTTTGCATACACTCAAGCACTCAAAACTCGTAGAAGTATGTGATAATTAAAAGAATTAAAAGATATTTTTTATAATAAAATATTTTAAATATATTAATTTGCAGACTATTTCTTAAAGTGTTATTTTTCTAATAGTTTGTCTTTGAGTATAATTAAACATTTATTTAAAATCAATAATATTTTTCAATTAAAACATATGAAGGAACGTTGATATTAAAATAAAAATGCTATATTCTTTCATAATACTGTTTCGCTAAAGTATAATGCACGTATTGGGCAATCATTAAATTTGACAGATCATATTATCATAATAAATTATTTTAGACTTAAAAAATATTTAAAAAAAACAGAGAAATAAAATCGCTTATCCAAGAAATCGTTTATCTAAGAACGTCATAGCTTTTTTAATTTATAATTTAATCAATCTTTTACTTATCAATCTTTACTTGAAAAACAAATATTTTTGAACAATATATTAAAAACATCAAATATAACTGATACACAGTACATATTATCAATATTGTAAGATTAATGCAAAAAATATCTTTTCCGTGTATCGTCGACAAATCTTTGTCGGGATTGATTAAATTGTCACGTGAACGTCGAATTCCATAAGCGAACACATAACATAATCTCGTGCCAATATTAAATCGTTACTGCGAAGATACTCGCCGATAAATGGTCGTACTTGCGGATTTATTGGGGCACGTTTAATCAATGAATATCACTGTCAGCCTATCCTATCATCCCTTCGCTCAAATCGCGTTGCATATACGCCTCGTTACCTTATATTTCCGAGGCCGGACTATTCCATTCGTTCTGGCAAATTGCATTCACGTCTGTTACCCGTCTGTTACTATCGCTATCAAAATCTGCTGGTACATACAGATATCAACGATACGTTCTCCGCGGAATTTTATACATTTGCATTAAACCTCTAGTTTGAATTACACATGCCATACAATAACCGATAACTTTGTTTTTTTTATATATATAAATATATAATAAAATTAATTAATGAAAGGCTCGTATAAATTAAACAAAATTAAACAATCATATATAGTAGGCCAACTAAACGAGCAAATAAATAAGATGTAAAAATTTTTTTATTAATAGTTAAATCATTAAATTAACATTCCGTTACAGAATCGATATAAATTGTAAACGTTTCGACTGCACTACAGTCTTTATCAATACATAAAAATTAAATATTAAAATATAAAGTTAGATGTTAAAAATACAAAGTTAGTTAAATATTAAAATATAAAATTGAAACGATTCTTCGCTGTTGACCAATAGATATGCAAGGCGATTGGTCTGAGATGCCAAGTTATGCGACATTTGAGCATGCTACGGATATAATACGCGAATTAAATCAATGTCAGAGAAAATTAAAAAATCTTTCAACTTACATTATCGTTTTAACAAGTCCTTTTCCCCGATATTTCAAGTGTGTGTTGCGAAGTCTGAATACCAAATGTCAAAATAGAGAGCGTGATGTATTTATTTATTACCAATGTTTTTTCTAAATTATGATTCAGCAAATTTTTTAAGTATGTCAAAATAACTACTGTCTAACAATTCGGTGTCTGTATTTAAATTAATTCCATTTTTCTGTTCTTTAATGTGGATCATTTCAGATATTAGTCTTTTATGGTAATTCTTTTCATGATCCATAATTTTAATATTGTCCCAGTCAAATGTATGTTGTTCGTTTAGAATGTGTTCCGTGATAACCGAATGTCTAGCAGAGTCTAATTTAATATTATTTTTATGTTCTTTAAGTCTCGTTCCTAACTGTCTTTTTGTCTGTCCGACATATGTGGCGTCACAATCGTTGCAATTCAATTTATAAATAACGTTAGAATTCGTGGGGCAATTATTTTTTGATTCTGTAACGGAATGTTAATTTAATGATTTAACTATTAATAAAAAAATTTTTACATCTTATTTATTTGCTCGTTTAGTTGGCCTACTATATATGATTGTTTAATTTTGTTTAATATATAATAATATATCTAACTATTAATTGAGCCTTTCAGAAATCAATTCTATTTTCAATTGATTTGAGTTATTAATATAGTACGTAAACATTTCAATATGAGAGTCAGCCTCGTCTTTTATTGAATCTGAATTCGTAATCAAAACTTGGAGTCAACAAATTGAGCGACAATTGGAAAGCTCAAATATCGATCAAAAAAAATTTTACTTATCCCATTTTCATTAGCAAAATATTATTCCGCGAAACCAATTTCTAACGCACGACATATATATATATATTTTTAGACTAGTTTAAACCTACAATAAAAATATATCTTACAATATATTCATTATTTGTACGATTCATATAAAATATTTCAAATAAAATTTTATATCTCATATCTATAATTTCTTTAATTTAAAATATACGAATTTTTAAATATAATGCAAAAGTTATAAAGATGTTTTAATATGACACCGGAAAGTGGTTTGTGTTCTGGAATTAGCATACTCTAGTTACATAAAAATGATAACATGGTCCGAGAGAGGAATGCCCTCGGTTTTTTTATCAGATTTTCTCAACGTTGCAAAATGCATCGGTACACAACCTGTTATTATCTTATCTGCACGTAACGTATACACAGAATAGGTTATCTGCATCCCCTCTTTATTATCAGGAGATGCACGCGATATATGATCACACGATACAATGACATCATCACACACGTAAACACATATTTGAAATTCAACAAAAAACTTGACTAAATTAAATTTAACAAAATGTAAAGACAAATATATATAAAAACATATTTAATTAATATAATTTAAAATTATATTATTTGGCTAAAATAAAATTATTTTCAAATAAAGCATTAATTTGCTTCATATTAGAATATTTATTCTATGAATATCATATATTTTTTGAATTTAATATATATTATATAATGCACGCTATATATATATATATATATTTTTGTTATATAATTTTTTAAAACGCGCTAAGAGTAATGTGTACACTGTACGTGCATAATTCAAATATATTTATAGCATTATGTAGCGAAACAACAATATCATTCCGTAGCAGCAATAAAATGTCAAATTGTATGCAGTAAAAAGTCGTCCTAAGCAAAAAAACATGGTAAATGTGATCGCGATAAAGAAAATTGTCGGTCGATGGCAGCCAGTCCGTTCCTTGTCTTGTCAGCTCGGCACAAGCAAGATAAATGGCACGAAAACGTGAAACGTGGGGAATACAGAGGAGACAGAAGTGTGAAGTGTGTGCGCGCCCAGACAATTCACAAAAGCGTAGAAAATCGATAATCGATACCCCCCATTGCAGTTTTTCTCATCTCGCAACGCGTGCCTCACCAAGGTCGCCGTCAGAAAAATTCTTTCCCCGTTAATCCGCAATCCGAAAAAGTTTTTCAAAATAAAAAGCTAAAGCTCCGCGACTCGAACAATGACAGGTTTATATGTATCAAGAGAATATGTGTATTATAAAAAAAATCAATAAAAGAGTATCAAAAAATAAATCTAAATACCTTACAAGAATTATTATTGTAAAATACTTATGTCAAAAGAGAAAAATGCATATAATATAAATTTAGATTTCTCCGGAACATATAAATCCACCACTGATTTCCATGCCATGAAATATGCAATTAGAAAAAAAAAGATTGCGGACTAGATTGCTTGACAGAATCCAATGGCTTATTTGAATTTATTCTTTTTCCTTATTTTCCGAGAATTCGAATTCTTTTCCTTATTGTATCGTTAAATGCATGAATCAAGAATTTCAAATGCGTAAATTGTTACATAAGTTGTTCATATAACACAAGATGTTCAAAAGTTATCAAATCGTTACGAGACAAAGAAATAAATCATTTAATATTCAAAAATTTCAATTTTAAAGAATTCGACGTGTTAACAAAAAATCGATAAAGGTCAACTAGCTTTCAAGTTTAATTTAAATCGCTTTTATCATTAACGCATTCTTAATAAAAAAAAAAAAAAAAAAACGCTCGATATTCATCCGATAAATAATTTATTCATTTTTTGTTAAACTATTACGCGTAATGGCTGCTATATTAATTATCTGCGTAAATCATCTCGTTACTCAACGATTACAGAAGTAAAAGCTATCGCGTCACATCACGGACGGCTGATCAATTTAGAATGGACAAGGCAGAAAATGCATCCGACCATATATTACTTTATATCACGATAAATGTTATCCGTGCATGCTCTAAAATAAGCGATACAAATTATCGATGATTAAAAATATACAAACGAAACACATTTTAATAATTGGAGTAAATAATTTTCATTATTTATATAGCAATAATATGTATACATATTATATATGTATATAATATAGGTATATTTTTTATTCTGAAATTTACTTTTTGTTTTAGATCGATATTACATTGGACTGTTAATAGATTATGAATTTCGCCATTGAGTCCTTCGAATTTATTGACAAGTTTATTTTCATGAGAATCTCTTTCGGGGAAACGAACTTTGCGACCAAAGCAACCTTGGAGGCGAGGAATTTCGCGGCAGCCGTTTTAGCTGCGATTTATTGTACCTCCTTCGAGGTGGCTTGCGAAGCTAGAATACGACCGACCTCTGGACTGAGTGGGAAAAGAAGGCCTTAGATCGCGATTGCAGTAGTCGGAATGATCACAACATTCGATGCCATCATTGGACAGCATACTGGTGCACCAGACCGAGAATTTGGCATCCGGAAAGAAGCTCGTCTTATTGTAACACCTGGGAAAATAATTTACATAACGAATATTGCCGCGAACCAGACCTGCGGCGAAATCACGTCGCCGAAAAGCGTCCTCCTCCATGTCTGCTGTAAAGGTGACGTAACATATTCGTAAAAGTCTCAGACAAAACGTTTAGCAGATTATTGAGGGTAAGATTCTGACAATGAATATAGTGTCTGATTGTAAGAAATATACGCAGACACACAAAAGTGCTAATAAGATAGTCTTTCAAAATTATAATTGAGTATATTATATGAAATTTAATAAGCTGTAGAAAAGTGAGATTAGCGCACACCTAGATCTGATTTTAGCCCTGTATTTTAATTATAATAAAAATAAGTATTTTATTTTACTATTTGTAGGGAGAAAATATTATCTTGATATTTTTATAAGCTTTATGCTCTCTAAATTACTTTTAAATCTAATGTATTACTGCTTAATTGCATATAAATAAAATAAAGAGAAGGCACACACAAAAGTCAGAAGGCATGCGAAAAAGAAGACAGCACTTCAATCTTATTTAACACACTCTCACAATCTCAAGGAAAATGCTAAAATTTTAATATACATAGTTTGCAACTGTAAAGACTGAACTATAAAGGGAATTTGACACAAGATGCACTTGTAAAAGATAGATCAACAAGATAATACTAATGAAAACGCGAGTCTAATAAAGCTCAATGTTTTTGCTCGCGAATCTCATGTCAAGTTCCTCGGTGTTTCTCGATATAATAACGGATTGAGTGGTCAATGTATAATACGTTCTTGGGGAAGTTAATACGAGAAAACTACAAGTTTCGCGGAGAGGTTACTACGAGAGGCAGGAAAAATATTTACAAAAGCCACCCTTTCAGGCAGGTCACGCTCTATCGGAGTTACTACTAGGGATAGTATTGTCATTAAAGAGTGCAGAGAAGAGAAGACTGTGGCAACATGTTATCGGTCCTTTCCGAGTGTACTCAGAAGAACTTCCGGCGGACGATGAGCTTGTAAGTAAGAAAATACAGGAGAAGATTGCCTTGAAACGACTACAAGCTCCGTAGGTGGCAAACATCTCGACATCATCGTTTTTCGAATATTATTATAGGCAAACGCATATTGCGCTCACATTATCTTACCTTTCCAAAGTTATTCTCTCGTTCTTTATTTTTTATCATTCGGTTCTATATTTATCTCAGACAAATTTTATCACTCTAATCTCGAAATTGGAAATTATTTCACTCTTTATAAATAAATTTATAAAAATGCATATGTATATAATCAACATTAAATAATATAAATAATATGGGCGTCTGCTGCTTGGGGAAAAAATACGGAAAAAAGAAGTATACGAAAACTCTAATAAAAAAAAAAGCTAAAGACTCTATATCACACTTATCTATATCATTTGTTATACTGCGCGCATAAAACGAAATACAACAGCATTTAGTGCAATAATTTGAACTTTCGTGATGCAATATGACAGTAGATATTTTTTCTATTTTTCTATCAAATAAAACACGCGATACATAATATATTGAGATTGAATTAGCTGAAATATTTAGATGGTAACAATATTTCTCTCTCGTTTAATATACGGAGAACGTCCCATAAATTTTGACTTCATTCAATTCTGTATTTTATTTGCTCCAGCGACAACGGGACTCTACAATACTCCACTGCGATTCAAGAAACCGCAATATAAAATAGCCGGTGCGTTGCGCTTTATTAAACGCAATGAACGACGAACGAGATAGCGCAACACGCATCCGCGAATACGCAAGTAGTGCATCGCGCGTGCACGTCTGCGTGTTGCAGCGTCGCGCGAAAGCTTTCCATTCTTCACACAATATATAATGCATATGGCGTTATACGAATATAGAAATCTACACAGTGTCCCAAAATCACTGGATGATATTTTAGAAAACAAAAGCACTTCCAAATTAAGAAGTCTAAATATATGCACAAATAGTGAAGAAAATGCGTTTGTTTTTTTTTTTTTTTTTATAGATGTATCAAGTAAATTTTGTATAATAAATTATTTCAATTTTAATTAATAAAAATATATAATTAAAATAAAAATTGTCCTAAATAACGAATTTATATTTTCACTAAAAATTATTAGATTAATATAGTTTGCTTCTGAGATATCATCAAATGATTTTGTTGATATATTTTATACATATGTATATATACACAGATGACGGTAGCAAGAGCGCGACAGAGAGCGTGCCAGAGCAAATTTGAAATTATAAAGTGCAAAACATAGCCATGTACATTGCCGGAGATCATATATATATGTCTGCGTGTATGTGTGTGTGATGAAATTGATATTATTCCGATTATAAAGAATAACGCGATTTAATGAATTTCTTAACTATATGAAAACACTCTAACTGGTTCTTGAAATACTTTTACTTTATTAAATGCTAGAAATGATAATGGTCTAAGAATAAGTTGAGCATGACTTCTTTTGCAAAGTTAATATTTTTCCTTTTCTCTTGCAAATACATGAAATTAATGAAATATTTATTACAATAAAAATTTTTGAATTTATTAATAATGATTCGTTTTTGGTTGTACGTATAAGAAACTGATTATTATAATAAGTTTATATGTGTATGTCATTTTCTCTGAAATTTAAATGACCAAAAAGATTACATAGAATATATATTTATAAAATTCAATAATTATAAATTCTTTAAATAAATAATGAAGAAATGCAATTAAAATTTATTTTTTTTAATATATTTTATCTTATAGCAATTAAAAAATACAAAAAAATTTGGTTATATTTTTTAGATTTATATAAAGGTATATAAATAAAACCGACATATTTAATATTAACTGAAAATATAAGTTTATAAACAAAAGCTTGAGAATTTCAGTAGTTGGCAAATTTGCATTACGAAACTATTGGATGGCAGAACCACCCCTTTAAATAGTTACGTGGATTAGGTCAAACTGGCTTCAAACTTGAAAACAGTTCCCTTGTGTCATGTACACAATTGTGTTCTACATCTATTCCTGTTAATTTTAGTTTATACTTAGTTCTCATTGAATCTTGTATATCGCAAAATAATTAAAGATTTTAATGATCGATGTAACAATTATATCTCGTATCTCTCCAGCAATGTACTGCTCTCGTTTCGTTTATACAGTACGGCATAGATTGACAATAAGAAACAATTAATACAAATTCTAGAAATAACGAAAAATAGTGAGAAAATATATTTACAGCATATTGCAATAGTATAGTATAGTATAGTATAATAAGAGAAAAGGGAAAAAAATAGAGACAAAGAGAGAGAAAGAGAGAGAGAGAAGGGTGCAGCAAAAGCCCGTGCCACCTGCAGAGTTTTCGTAACTTCCAAGATCTGTTTTGGAACTGTACCTTCTTTGTTGCGAGGGTGCAGCGGAGGTTTCAGATCCCGATTGCAAAAATCCTCTTTATTGCAGCATTCGATGACGAAGCTCGTGTTTCGCGAGTCGCTCGTCATGCAGAAGATGAGCGGCTCGGGCTGCGACGGCGGCAGGTGTTTATGCACGCACCTTCAAGCCGATTTTGCACCAGTTTCAAAAAAACAAGACGGGGAGAACACTCGGTGTGCGACGCGTTCGCATCGGGGCACGAGATATCAAGGGGAGCAAGAGAAAACGTTTCGTGCGGTTTTAAGTTAAAAATATGTATATATATATATATACGCGAATCGGAAAATCCGAACCTTTCGTAGCACGACAAAAAGATACACAGAGAGAATTTTCTCTTAGAATTTACCCTGAAAATCATGGTAATCGTGGACAAAATTGGAAGAATTTTATAAAAATTTCTCTGATTAATATTTACCACAATAAAAATAGTAATATCTACCAGAATAAAATATAAAATATGTTCGATGAATTTTATGTACATAGTAAAATTTACTATGTACATATTAATATTTTTTATTGTGATAAATATCAATCAGAGGAATTCTTATAAAATTCTTCCAATTGTCCATGATTACCACGATTTTCAAGGTAAATTCTAAGAGAAAATTCTCTCCGTGTATTTGCGCGCTTTTAAAGGTGCCTTTTCATACGCAGCATGCTGCAGCAGCAAATCAGTCACGTAATCAAAATTTATTAGAGCATATTTCTTTCTTTCTTTCTTCTCTTATTATTTCGAAGTTAAAATTACGATTTTTGCTTTTATATTCTTTAATCTATTTTATTCTTAAAATCCATTATTTAATTAATATAATAATAATAATTAGAATCAACTATAGTTGCGTGTTCTTCTGTTTTGATGCATTTGCAATTGAATTTCACTAATAACTATAGTATGCTGCACATGAAATGGTACCTTATGACTGTGCTCCGAATCCACCTTCGTTTTACCGATACAGCTTCTGTGCCACTTTTTATCCGAACACGTTCAAATGCTCCATTAACGAGATGAATGTTTACAAGCTGGATCGATTGTATAAAGTATTCTCAGGATTTTATATATAAGTAGCTAAGCTGTTTAAAAAAAAATTCTATTTATTCGTATATGGTTTTCTACAAATTTTTGTATTTCCAGATCTTCCGACAATCTAAAATTGATATTAATTATTTTTTATTTAATCTCAATTATTTTATCGTGCTACCGAAAGAATTTCCCGACATTCAATTAAATTTAATTTGCCTATTGATATTTACAATTGTCATTTCAATATTCATTATTATTATTCTCAATATTTCTTTTATTTCACAAGTCACATTTGAAAGTGATTAATTATGTTTGTATTTTGTAATCTCTACGTGTGACATAATTTAATCTCTTACAGACGAAATAAAAGAGTGTTTGTGCGTTATGCGATTTAACGAATTATGTAAGCTGTGTAAATATACGCCCGTCGATTAACAACCGGATAATGAAACGATAAAATTATGCGAAATACGTAATAATATATATATACGCGCCCGTTAGATTATTCCGCATCGAAATTCACACACGGATGCGAATGCTGTCGATATAGGGGATAGGATCACTGA